GGGCGTCGCGCTGCAGGCGGGAGGCCCTCCTCTGAGTCACTTTGTGGTCCCAGGAGCAGAAGACGGTGAGGGCGTGGACGCCCGAGGTGCTGTCCACCCGGTAGCTCTCCCCGAAGGAGCGGGACATGCTGAGAGGCGGAGCCGGCGAATGAGGCCCCGGCCACCGACAGCACAGGCCCTCCAGCCACGCGGGCCAGGAAGGGGCCCCGGGAGAGGCGGGGCTGGCCCTGGCGCCTCCTCTCTCCTGCCCGCTCCTCGTAAAGCCCCCAGGGGACTGGCCTGACACCCCCAGTGCCCCCCAGCAGCCGGGTCAACACCTCCAGGGCTCGGCCCCAAACTGCCTTCCCAGGACAGCTCTGGGGTGGGCACCGCACGTGTGTTCCAGCCCTGAGCGTGCCTGGGGGGTGGGGGGATGGGCAGACGGGTGGACGGGGGCAGACAGGTGGATGGGGGCAGACGGGTGGACGGGGGCAGACGGGTGGACGGGGGCAGACAGGTGGACGGAGACAGACGGGAGGGTGGGTAGGTGGATGGATGGCCAGGTGGACACGCGGATATGTGGATGGACAGGTGGATGAATGAGTGACGGATGGATGGGTGGACAGACAAGTAGATGGATAGGTGAGTGGACAGCTGGACAGGTAGATGGGCGAGCAGGTACGCAGGTGAATTCCTGGATGGGTGAGCAGACGGGTGGACAGGTGGCGATGGACAGTCCAGTGGGCGCGGAAGCGGATGGACAGACGGGCAGACAGCGAGTGGGCGGATGTGGAGGAGCGGGCTGAGCTGGGGCGTTACCTGTATACCAGCGTGATGCAGATGAGGAAGAAAGCCACGCCCACAGTGCAGAGGTAGGCCAGGGGCATGTGGTAGGGCAGGCCGTCCGCGCCGAGGGCACACTGGCCGCCCGGCCCGCGGGGCGCACAGGGCGGGCCGAGGCTGACGTTGCTGTAGTGGCCGTAGTACATGACGCTGTCCGTGAAGCAGCCCTGGGGAGGCGGCGCGTCAGGACCCTGCCCACCACGGGGGGCCCCAGCCCTGAAGAGCCCCGGGGGGAGGTGGGGAGGGCAGCCCCCCGCCCCCGGGCCGGCCCGTGCCCTCACCGCGCCCGTGAGCAGCTCCAGCCCCGTGAAGGCGCGGGCAGCGCCGGGCTCCGGGGGCGGCGGGAAGGCGGCCTGCACGCCCACCAGGAAGGCCAGCAGCGGCAGCAGCAGCAGCCCGTTCAGGGCCAGCAGGCTCTTGAGGAAGAGGAAGTAGGAGAGGACGCTGGAGCCGAACTGGCCGCCGATCCGCTTGAGGGCGTAGCGCCACGGCGTCAGGGCCTGCAGGCCGGCCAGCAGCGCCAGCCCCACGCCGTGCCAGGCCTGCGGACAGACGGACGGCAGCAGTCAGCCCTGAGGCCGGGGCCTGGACACCCCCCCCCCAGCCAGGCTGGCAGCACGGGGTCCCGCCCGTCACGTGCTGGCTCTCACCAGGCTGCAGGTGTCCCCCAGCTGGCCGCAGCAGGACAAGACCCCAGCCCAGCCGCGCTGGCCCCTCGGCGGCCGGCTCTTCTCCCTGCAGACAAGGGGCAGCCATGGGTGCCCCGCACCGTCGTGGGGGCGGCCCAGCCCCGGGCTCCGGAGCCTCGCCCCACCCCCGCTCCCCACGGGCACGCACCGCAGGCCGCGCTTCTCGGCCAGGCTCAGCGGCAGGGCCCGCAGCAGGTGGTCCCGCTGGGCCCCCGCCAGGGCCCGCAGCTCCTTCACCAGCAGGCTCCGCTTCTCTGCGAGGGTGGGGGACGGCCAGTCAGACCCCCCTGCCCAGCCCCGCCTCGCCAGCCTGGGCGCGCACCCCACACCCAGGCCGTGAGACCAGCGGCAGCCAGGACCCGGGGAGCGGGCAGCAGGGGTGGCCAGGCCACCACCACCCTGCCAAGGGCAGACACTGCTCCTAGGCCACGCGACAGGTAAGGACGGGCGCTCTGGGGCGTGCGGGCAGAGCCACCGCCGGCATCCCGTAAGGGCACCGGGTTGAGTCCCAGCTGCTCCGTCTCCAATCCGGCTCCCTGCGCCTGGGAAAGCCGCGGAGGACGGCCCAAGGCCTTGGACCCGCCGCACCCACGTGGGAGCGCCAGAGGACGCTCCTGGCCCGGCCTGGCCCGGCCTGGCCACTGCAGCCATCTGGGGAGGGAACCAGCGGGTGGAAGATCTGTCGCTCCCCACTTCTCCGACTCTGCCTCTCCTAAGTCTTAATAAACATGAGCAAACAAAAAGGCGGCAAAAAGCAGTGACTGACAGCTGACCCCTGGCCCAGGTGGCAGAGAACACGGTGACACCAGAGCCCACCTGGCCCAGGGCCCAGAGCCCACGCCTTCCCCTGCTGCGTCACTCACCAGCGGGGGCCTTGAGGGGAGCAGAGGAAGTGGGGCAGCGCCCCCAGAGCACCCCTAGAGCCTGGGAAGGCGGAGCCCAGTGCACCTGCTCCGACAGTGGCCTGCGAGACCGCACCCTGCCTCGCTCTACCACCCCCTCCCCGCTGCCCACAGAGCTGTTCAAGTGTCACTTCCTCCAGGAAGCCTCCCTGGCTCTCTGCCACCATCTTCTCTCAGCTCACTTAGATCAGCCTTATCCACCTATCCAGCCCGTGCCCTTGTCACCGGGCAGGTGCCAAGCTGCAGGACAGCTGGGCCACCACCATGTCCCCGAGGCCTCCAGAGACCTGTTGGCCGTGGAGTGCCCCCTTGGCAGTCCCCAGACCTCACAGCCAAGGAGCCCCGGGGCCGTGCAGGAGCCCCACCCCCGCCCCGCCCTCTACCACTCACCCTCCTCTTCCTGCGCCGTGGGGTCCAGCTCCAGGTCACGCTGGCGGAGGCTGGGCCGGGCCGAGCGCACCATGTCCCCCAGCAGGGGCCGGCTGCTCCTGCGCCGCAGCCGCACCGTGCGGTTGTAGTACTGGGAGATGATGGCACCACGGCTGCGGCCTAGGACGGCAGCTGGGCAGGGCTGGGCCAGGCCAGGCCGCCCCAGCCCCCAGGAGAATGCTCGCCCAGAGACCTGCGCTCACCCCCGTGCTGTGGCGACGACCCAGGGCAGCGAGCGGCTGCGCCTGGCCCAGCCCTGCCCAGCCCAGCCCGGGGCCGGCGTCCCCGAGGGCAGAGTCCCACTCACCGATCGTCCGGCTGGGCATGCTGGCCAAGATGCGCAGTGTGGCCGTGCTGTGCACCACGGTCCCCCCGGGCCCCAGGACAGCGTGGTGGTCACTACCTGCAGACAGAACAGAAGGCCGGCCGGGGCTCCCGGGAGCTGCTGACCGCCTCACCCCAGGCTCCGGCCTGCTCGGGCCCCGCTCCCCCAGGCCCCCGCCTCCTCGCACCCAGGCCCTGCTCCCCCAGACCCTGCTCACCCAGGCCCTGCTCACCCGCGGGCCCCGCCTCCTCGCACCCAGGCCCTGCTCCCCCAGGCCCTGCTCCCTCAGGCCCCCTCCTCCTCAGCACCCAGGCCTGCTCCCCCAGGCCCCCGCCTCCTCGCACCCAGGCCCTGCTCCCCCAGGCCCTGCTCACCCGTGGGCCCCGCCGCCCTGTCCTGCAGCTCCAGCCCCTCCCGGGCCACCTGCTCCTGGATGAGCTGATGGAAGGAGTCGTGCACTTCCCTCTCGTCGTAGGGGCTGGGCTCCTGGCTGCTGCGAGAGGCAGGGGTGAGGGCTGAGGGCGCGCCGAGGGACACAGCCCCTCCCCCCCGACCCTCCCCCGCGCAGACCCTCCCCAGCACTTACTCCTCGTCCCCTGGAGCCTCGGACACGTCGAGGACGAATGGCAGTGGCTGGGCCATGTCTGCAGCCCACGCGCAGCACCCCTGTGCACCTAGGGCTGTTCAGAGCCTGGACGAGGCCTCCCCAGCCTCCTGCCGCCCATCTGACCGGGGATAGGGGTCAGTGAGCCCAGCGCCCGGCCACATCCCGACTGCCCACTGCCCACTCAAGCTGTGGCACAGGGGTGGGCCCTGAGTAAGCCCCCCCGCCAGGGCAGCGCAGAGGGGCAGGGAGGAGAGGAGGAAGGGAGGGGCCTGCAGATCCAGGAAGGGGTGCGGTGCTGTGGCCGTCACCCCCTCAGGCAGGCCATTCCCAGGGTGCAGTGCCAGGGACGCTGCTCCCCGGAGAAAGGCCACGGCCATGCCTGTCACCCCACTGCACTTCCTCCCGCAGGAAGTCCCAGGGCAGCCCCCTCCCCTGCGCCCCACCCAGGTACACACAGGGTCACTGCGGGCCGGCCGGGCCCCCTCCGCTCCGGGAGACTGACTCCCACGTGCCCTGACCCAGCGGCCGCGGGAGGGCCAGCCCACACAGGCCCCTTTGTCAGGCTCTGCCCTCCGCAGCTCAGCCTCTGGTCTGTCCCCCTGCGGTGCGGGGCGGGGACAGCGGCTCCAGCGGGCAGCTGACCCAGGCGGTGCCCAGCCCTCACCCAGGAACCCAGGGCTGGGCCGAGGGGGCTTCCTGCAGAGCCAGCCCCGGACCCAGCGCTCAGCACGCCCAGTCCCTGCGCCCAGCCCCGACGGCCACCGCCGCGCCCCTCCCGGCCCGCAGCGGGGGCGCCGCGGGCAGGCAGCCTGGGGCCGTCCCAGCCCGGCCCCGCGCAGGCGCCCGCCGGAAGGCGACCCCCACCCAGCCCACCGCCTCCCCGACACACGCACCGCTCCAGCCGCAGCCAGCGGGCCGCCCAGGGCACCTGCCCCCGCCCCCAGCCGGGCGGCCCGCGGAGTTTCCGGAGCGCACCATTCCGAAGCCGGCCCGGGTGGGGAAGGGCCGGGGGAGGCCGTCTCCAGGGACCCCCGCCGCGGCCGGCAGCGTGCCCCCCGGGAGCAATGCCACCCAGGCACCGTCCAACCCGGCTTGGGGGCCCCGGGACATCAGGAACTCCGGGACCTCGCGCCCCGCCCAGCCAGCGCCGCGCGCGCCCCCCGCGCCCGGTGGTTCCGGCCTCCCCGCCCCTCCCCGCCCCTTCCCGCCTGCGCCCCGGGACAGGGGCCGCCGTCCGTGCGCGCGGCTCCGCCCGCCCCGGCCCGGCCCCGGTCTAAGCCTGGCCCGCCGGGAGACCGGGAAGAGCCTGCCCAGCGGAATTCGGCGGGACTGGAGCCACCGGCCACAGGGGACCATGGGCGGGCGGGCAGGGCCAGGGCACCGCGCGGGACCCCGGGGATCCCCGACATCACCTGGCGAGCGGCTCACCTGTCCCCGCAGGGGCCGCCGGGAACTGTGGTCTGAGTGAGAGGCCCTGGGGTCAGCGGGGGACAGCGGCAAAGGTCCCGGGGGGCCCTGACTCCGCGCGGCCCGGCCCCTCCCCGCCGACCTCCGAGCCCCCCCCCCCCCGTGGCGCCCCCGAGCTCTGCGCGGGGTCGAGGAGGACGGGGGTCCGCAGCCACGTCAGTGAAGCCCCCGGACTCAGTTTCCCCAAGTTCCAAAAAGCGAAGGCACCCCACTGCACTTCCCGAGCCACCCCCTTCCCAGGCCGGGGGCTGTGCCAGTGAGATAAAGCCGTCCGCAGCTCCGCGAAAATCGGGGAACCCTCACCCCCACCCCGAGGCAAGGCCCCGAGTTATCGTCCCTCCCCGTGTCCGCCGGGCGGGGTCGCCGCGGGTTATCTGGCGACAGCCCCGGGCACTTCTCGGCCAGGCGAGGAGCAGGGGTCCCCGCGGCGAGCCCCTCCCCCGGGGCCGCGCCCCCACAAGCCGACGCCCGGACTTCCCAGATGAGAATACTGGGGCCCCGGGCCCGCACCCCGCAAGCCCGGGGGTGGGGAGAGGCGCCCCCGGCCGCGAGGGGGGAGTCTGGGCCGCTGCCTGGGAGACGCGACCGCGAACTCGTGAACTTGGCACGGGGTGGCGCCCGGGGCCGTGGCGGGAAGTTCAGAAATAGCGCCGAGGGTTTCTGCAAAGCCGGAGCCCGCGGCCCCGGCCTAGGCCGTGTGCCCCGCGCCCTCGGGGGCGACCTGCGGCGGGCAGATAAGGGGGCGCCCGGGGGCCGCCCCAGCGCGGAGAGCGGGGGGCGAGCGGGCCTCCCGGGCTGCGGCAGCGCGGGCGCCGAGGCAGACGCGCGCCCCGCGCAGTCGGGGCCCCCCACCTGCGCGCTGCGCCCCCGGCCGCAGGAGGCGGCGCCCGGCCTCGGAGGGGAGCAGAGGAAACTGCGGGCGGGGGCAGGAAGGAGGGAGGGAGCGAGCCGGCGGCGCGGGGAGCGGGGTTCCTGTCTGCTGACCCCTCCCCCTCAGCTCCCGCGCTGCGCGGCCGGAGCCGGTGCCCCCAGGACCCGTCCTCAGGTGAAGGGGATGCGGAGGGGGCAGGAGGCGAGGGTGAGGGGCGCGGGGGGGTGTCCCTGGTCCTGTTCCCACGCCTGGCCTGGGCTCAACCTCATCTGCACCGAAGCCGGGAGGGGTCCCGGGGTTCCCGCAGCCAGAGCGCCCCAGGGGGCAGGATCTGGGGGCCCCCGGTGTCCAGCGGGCCAGTGGCCAGGGCAGGGGGGAGCAAAGAAGGGGGAGTCCCTGCGGGGGCCTTGGAAGGCTGGGGGCGCAGGGAGCGGGTGGGGGTGCAGCAGACCTCGGCTTGGGGGCAGACCCAGCTTGCCGGGCCGGGGGCCTCGCACCCCACGTGGCAGGTGGGGGACTGAGCCCCCGGCCCCTGAGCGGTGCAGCGGGACCGAGCCCAGACCCGGGTGCCAGCAGGCTGCCTTCTTTTTCCGTTTCTGGGTCGCCACAGCCAGGACCTCGATCGAAGCCGGCTCCCCCCGGCCGCCGGGATGTCGTGGTCGGGGCCGGAGCCGGGGCCGGAGCCCGCGGCCGAGGCGCTGTGGGAGCAGGAGCTGGCCCGGCTCTGCGCCTCCCGCGTGCCCCTGCGGGCGCTGCCCTACGCCATGGTGGACAAGCGGCTGATCCGGTGGGTGCCGGCCCCGCCAGGGCGGGAGGGCCGGGCCGCGCCGGGCAGGGGGCGGGAGGGCCGGACTCAGGCGGCCGTCACCACCCCCGTGCAGGCGGCTGCGGGAGCCCCAAGGCGTGAAGACCTCGAGGTGGCGGCAGTGGCAGCGCCGGCGGCGGAGGGCTGCGCGGCGCCTGGGGGAGGCGGCCCGGCGGCTGTCCCGCGGCTTGGGGCTCTGGGAGGGGGCGCTCTACGAGATCGGGGGTAGGACCCGCGCGACCCCAGCTCCCCGCCCCTGGCCTCCGCGGCGCGAGGGGAAACTGAGGAGGGCACCCCCTTAGGACCTCGCTGGATCCTCCCCGCCCCCGACCCCCAACAGGTGCAAGCCTGGGCGGAAGGCAGCACCCCTAGCGGCCGTCCGCGGTACTGCGCGGCAGCTCGGGGCCAGGCCCCGCCCCACGGCCCCTGGACCCTCACTCCTGGGCCCCCCCAGGGCTCTTTGGCACCGGTGTCCAGGCCTACTTCACCTTCCTCCGCTTCCTGCTCCTACTCAACCTGCTGACCCTGCTGGTGACCGCCAGCTTCGTGCTGCTGCCCCTGGCCTGGCTCCACCCCCCTGACCCAGGCCCTGCCCTGAACCTGAGTGAGTACCCCCAGCCTCCCCGATCCGCCCAGGGCGCCCTGGCCAGGCTCCCCAGGGTGGGGGCTGCGCAGGGAAGCACAGAGCCTCACGCGGGCCTTGGTGCCCCTCCCCCCGCAGCCCTGCAGTGCCCCAGCGGCCACCAGCACCACACCGGCCTTCCGAGGTTCCACAATCAGTTTTGGAACGTGTTGAGTGGCAGGGTGAGTGGGCTGCGTCCTGGCCGTGCTCCGGGCTCCTGGCAGGCCCAGGGGACGCCACCCTGAAAGCGCCCCCGCCCCTGCACGCACCTGTCGGTTTTAGGGGGTGACCTGACCTAGGCTGATTGGGCCAGCGATGGGTCAGAGGCCGAGGCCCCCATGCCTGGCACACCGGGCTCACAACAGGGCCTGTGGCAAAGGGACGGAAAAAGTGCCCCAGCCTCCCGGGTTCGAGTCCTGCTCTGTGCCTCGTCTCCCTGGTCGCCTGTGGGGTGGGGGGGGATCCTCCATGGCCGGTGGGGTTGCTGAGGGCTGGTCCGTACGCCGCCGGGAGCCTGCTCGGTTGTCTCCGTCTCCGTCCCAGGCCTTCAACAACACCTATCTCTTCTACGGTGCGTACCGGGCCGGCCCCGAGCGGCACTCGGCCTACAGCATCCGCCTGGCCTACCTGCTCAGCCCGCTGGCCTGCCTGCTCCTGTGCTTCTGCGGGACTCTGCAGCGGTGAGCGCCTCCCCCACCCCCCCCCTCCTGGGCAGCGCCCCCCCCCCCCCCGCTCACCGAGGGCCCCTCCCCAGCGCCCGCTCCCTGCCCCCAGGATGGTGAAGGGGCTGCCCCAGAGGCCGGTCCTGACCCGGAACTACAGGGCGCCCCTCAGCGCCAAGGTCTTCTCCTCCTGGGACTTCTGCATCCGCGTGTGGGAGGCCGCCGCCATCAAGAAGCATGAGATCAGCAACGAGTTCAAGGTGCGGGCGGGCGTGGGAACGCTGGGCGCCGGGCTGTGCGCCGGGAGGGAGGCGTGCGCGTCTTCCCCGCCCCCACGCCCTGCCTCTGCCCCGCAGGTGGAGCTGGAGGAGGGCCACAGCTTCCTGCTGGCGCAGCAGCAGTCGCGGGCACAGAGGGCCGTCCGCCTGCTCACCCACGTGCGCGTCAACCTCCTCTTTGGGCTCCTGGTGGTCGGGGCCATCAGCACCATCTTCTGGGCCACCAAGTACTCGCAGGACAACAAGGAGGTGCCGGGCCATTGGGTGCTCTTCATCCGGGCCAGAGTGGGAGCAGGGCCGGGAAACCGAGGCAGAGGCAGGGGAGCGGTCCAGACCAGCCCAGGCCGGCTCTGGCTGCGGCCGAGCCCGCTGGGGCCTCACTCCTGAACCGCCCATCGGGGGGCACTGGGGAGCCCGCAGCCCACGGCCGCCCGCCACCTGCCTCTTCCCACAGGAACCCCTGTTTGTGCTGCTCCAGTACCTGCCCCCCGGAGTCATGGCCCTGGTCAACTTCCTGGGGCCACAGCTGTTTGTGTCCCTGGCCCAGCTGGAGAACTTCCCTCCCAACACGGAGGTCAACCTCACCCTCATCTGGTGCGCACGCCCTGGGGGGCCGGGGCCCCAGCCGGGAGGCTCCGTGGTCAGGGGTCACTTCTGCACCAAAGGGGCGCCGCCCGGACGCACGGTCCCAGGTTTCCCACCGCCCTCCTCCTACCTCCAAAGGGAGCCGTCACACTGGACCACGTCCTGGCCCCTCAGTGACGTTTCTCCCGTGGGGTGCCGGAACGGAGCTCTGCACACTTAGGGGAGCTAGGAACTTGGGGGCGCACACAGCTGCCCCCGGCCCTGAGGGCCTCACACCCCCACCTGGACCATCCCAGCCAGGGTCAGGCTGCACAGGCCCGGCCACATCCTGCCCCACCCCGGCCCCACGGCCCAGCTGCCTCCAACACCCACTGTGTTTGGTGTGCTTTGAAACGTTTGTAACACGTGCCCCTGGGGGAGAAATTCAAAGTGCTCAAAAAGATGAAAGATTAAAACCCCGAGGACCGGTGCTGCCGGCCACGCAGGGGCGTGGGGGACGCCCACCTCGGGCGAGCAGGCCCTCGGAGCGCGGTGGCTGGTTAGGTGCGATGCTTCCCAGACTGGTGGAAGAACAGGACAGGCCGCGGTCCGGGGAGCCCGCTTTGGGAAACAGAGCCACAGAGGCAGCACCTGCAGCCCCGTGCGCCTGGGCCCCGCCCCCTGACCCGGCCCCGCCCCCCAGGTGCGTGGTGCTGAAGCTGGCCAGCCTGGGCATGTTCTCCTTCTCCCTGGGTCAGACCGTGCTGTGCGTCGGCGGAAACCGGACCGGCTGCGCGGCTCGCGGCTACAACGCCTGCGACTACCAGGTGGCGGGGGCCTGCCCCTCCCGACCCGCCCGAAGCCCCGCCTCCAGCCACGCAGAACCCGCCCCCCCACCTGTGGGAGAACCTGCGCGCAGCGCTGCTGCCAGCAGCCGCTCACCACCAGGGGGCGCCCCCGCACCAGTCTGCGTGGCGCGGCCTCCTGCTGCACGGGGGTGGGGCCTGCTCATCTCCAGCTGCCGCTAAGCCCCCGGACCCCGCCGACGGGTGGGTGAGGGAAGGGGAGACGGGGGGCACGAATGGTGACGGGCCCCGCCCTGCCCCCAGTGCTGGGAGAACTCGGTGGGCGAGGAGCTGTACAAGCTGCTGCTCTTCAACTTCCTGCTCACCGCGGCCTTCGCCTTCCTGGTCAGCCTGCCCCGCAGGTGAGCGCGCGGCCCCGGGACGGTGCGGGCGCGCCCGCGGCCCCGACCCACGGCCCCACTCCTCCCCAGGCTGCTGGTGGAGCGCCTCTCCGGCCGCTTCTGGGCCTGGCTGGGCCGGGAGGAGTTCCTGGTGCCCAAGAACGTGCTGGACATCGTGGCCGGGCAGACGGTCACCTGGATGGGCCTCTTCTACTGCCCGCTGCTGCCTCTGCTCAACAGCGTCTTCATCTTCCTCACCTTCTACATCAAGAAGGTGCGGGGGCGGGGTGGGGGGCGGCGGGGCCCGCCCCTGACCCCCCATACACGCTGACCCCGCCCCCGTACACGCTGACCCCGCCCCTGCCCCCGTAATGCTGACCCTGCCCCCCGGTACACGCTGACCCCGCCCCCTGGTACACGCTGACCCCACCCCTGCCCCCCAGTACACGCTGACCCCGCCCCTGCCCCCGTACACGCTGACCCCGCCCCCAGTACACGCTAATCCCGCCCCCGTACACGCTGACCCCGCCCCCTGCCCCCCAGTACACGCTGCTGAGGAACTCCAGGGCCCCGCGACGGCTGTTCCGCGCCTCCAGCACCACCTTCTTCTTCCAGCTGGTGCTGCTCCTGGGCCTGCTGCTGGCCGCCGCGCCGCTGGGCTACGTGGTCAGCAGGTGGGGCGGGGGGCGGGGCTACGTGGTGAGCAGGTGGGCGGGGCTACGTGGTCAGCAGGTGGGGGCGGGGCTCCGTGGTCAGCAGGTGGGGGCGCGGCTACGTGGTCAGCAGGTGGGGGTGGGGCTACGTGGTCAGCGGGTGGGGCGGGGCTGCGGGGGCGGGGCTCCGTGGTCAGCAGGTGGGGCGGGGGCGCCCCGCACCACGGGGCCCTGACGCCAGCCCCGCCCGCCGCCCCTCTCCAGCGTCCACTCCTCCTGGGACTGCGGCCTCTTCACCAACTACTCGGCCCCCTGGCAGGTGGTCCCCGAGCTGGTGGCCCTGCGGCTGCCGCCCCTCGGCCAGCGCGCCCTCGGCTACCTCAGCTCCCACGCCTTCGGCTTCCCCCTCCTTATCCTGCTCAGGTGCCTGGGGGGGGGTCCTGCCCTCCACGGGGGTGGTGTGGTCCTGGGCGCCCCAATCCAGGAGACCCCAGGGAAGGAGGGGCCCCGCATGGCCACCGAAGACAGGTGACCTGGGGGTCTCGGGGGCAGGGGCTCTGGGCCCCCCCTCAGGAATCCGGGGGGGTGCCGGAGCCACAGGGAGGGGGGGAGGGCCCCCCCAGCACCGCCGCCTTGACCAGCCCCGCGGCGCCGTCCTCCCGCAGCATCGCCCTCACCGTGTGCGTGTCCCAGGCCCGGGCCAACGCGAGGGCCATCCACACGCTCCGGAAGCAGCTGGTGCGGGTGAGTGCGGGCCGGGACTCCACGGGCGGCCGCGGGCTGGGGGCGTGCGGACCCCGCTAAGAAGCCGGCTTCGGGTGCGAGGGCCGGGGCGGTGAGGGGGCGTGGCCTCGGCTGCGTGGGGGCGGGGCTCCCGGTCCAGCCGGCCGCTGCCTCTACCGCCACCTGGTGGAAGCAGGCGACACTCGACACCGCCGCTCGCTTCCCCGCAGCAGGTGCAGGAGAAATGGCACCTGGTGGAGGACCTGTCGCGACTGCTGCCGGAGCCAAGCCCGAACGAGGCTCCGGGCCCCGAGTCCCCTCTCTCCAGAGCTTCGCGCCCACGGTCCTTCCGCCCAGGATTTCCGTGCCCAGGCTCCCCCGGTCCCAGCCCCCCTGGACCTGAGCCGGTCCATAGATTCCGCTTCCCCAGCAGCAGGGAGCTGTGGCACCGACCCTCGCCCCCACCCCAGGGCCCCGTTTAGCCTCCTTCGCCCGCGCTGCGGGCCCCTGCTGACCACGGCGCTGCCCCGGGACAGCAAGAAGCACATGTGGCCGCCTGTCTCATTCCTCCAGCGTCTGTGTTTGGGCGTTGTCTCAGCTACCTAACACCTCAGTCTAGTGACCCATGAAGGTGGCTTCTAAATGTCCACCTGCAGGGGGTGCTGGGAAATTGTCCGTTTGCAGACCTCTCCTGGTTGCGGGGGCTGGCCCCCAGGACAGCAAAGCTGAGGCCTCACTCTGTGCTATGACTGCCTGTCGCCCCCCAATCCTCTCTCGGGCCAGCAGTTGCACCCACGAGCAGGAAGGCAAGGGGTGAGCAAGGCGCCAAGCTGGGGCCTGAACCCGGGCGGGGACTCTGGAGCCACCGTGCACAGTGAGCCCCGAGGGCCATCCCTGCCCCGGGCAGGGGTCGGGTCAGGATCTCTCAGCACCCCGTAGGCTCCCCCGCAGCCCCCTGGCCCCAGCTGAGCTGACCATGAGAGTCAGAGCCTTGGTCACTGCGTGGGCTGTGCAGGGAGCGACACAGCCGTCCAGGACACAGGCAGGGCCGGGGTCCCACCAGGCCCCCACCCCAGCTGTCGCAGCCCCTGCCTGGTTCACCTCTCAGGAGCTGGCCCCACCCCAACGGCTCTGATGTCATCTGGGCTCCTGAAGGCTCCCGGGTGACACAGGTGGCCGGGGCTGAGAACCCTGAGGAAGGAGGAGCCCAGGAAACCCCGGGGCGTGCGTCAGAACCCCAGCTCCGGGCGTCCCATCACGGGGCTCCGCGCCTCCCATCACGGGGCTCTGGGCCTCTTCGCATGATCCCTAAGGCCTCGGCCAGTTCGGCCCCTCCGGGCTCTGTCCTCACCCTGCTTCCCCTCCCCCCGCCGCCCATTAGCAAACACGCTGGGTGCTGCTGAATGCCGGGGCTTGTTCTGCGGCTGCCAGGAAACAGACGGGGCTCTGTGTGCATTCTGGGGAGGGTGACAGGCGTGGCCCGGATGAAGGGGAGGCGCATGCGTGTTGCTGATTAGCGGCTGGAGGCCGGAATCTGGCCCCTGGAACCAGTAGGGTCAGAATCACCCAGGAGCAGGCTACGAATGCAGGTTGGCAGGCCTGTGAGTGAGGCCTCCGCCTGCGATGCCTGCGCATTCCAGTCCCGGCTGCTCCACTTCCGATCCAGCTCCCTGCTAACGCGCCTGGGGAAGCAGCGGACGATGCCCAAGCACTGCACCCACGTGGGAGACCCAGAGGAAGCTCCTGGCTTGGGCCTGGCCCAGCTCCAGCTATTGTAACTTTGGGGGACATCTCTCTGTGTCAATCTTCCTTTGAAATAAATGTATTTTTTAAAAAAAAATAAGCAACATGGGCCTCACTCCCTTGAATCAGAAGCATTGAGTTTGGAGCCCAGCCACTGCGTCAGTGAGCCCGGGGAGGTGAGCGTCTGCCCAGCCACTGCGTCAGTGAGCCCGGGGAGGTGAGGGTCTGCCCAGCCACTGTGTCAGTGAGCCTGGGGAGGTGAGGGTCTGCCCAGCCACTGCGTCAGTGAGCCCGGGGAGGTGAGGGTCTGCCCAGCCACTGCGTCAGTGAGCCCGGGGAGGTGAGGGTCTCCTGCCCAGCCACTGCGTCAGTGAGCCCGTGAGGTGAGGGTCTGCCCGGCCACTGCGTCAGTGAGCCCGGGGAGGTGAGGGTCTGCCCGGCCACTGCGTCAGTGAGCCCGGGGAGGTGAGGGTCTGCCCGGCCACTGCGTCAGTGAGCCCGGGAGGTGAGGGTCTGCCCGGCCACTGCGTCAGTGAGCCCGGGGAGGTGAGGGTCTGCCCGGCCACTGCGTCAGTGAGCCCGGGGAGGTGAGGGTCTCCTGCCCAGCCACTGCGTCAGTGAGCCCGGGGAGGTGAGGGTCTCCTGCCCAGCCACTGCGTCAGTGAGCCCGGGGAGGTGAGGGTCTGCCCAGCCACTGTGTCAGTGAGCCTGGGGAGGTGAGGGTCTCCTGCCCAGCCACTGCGTCAGTGAGCCCGTGAGGTGAGGGTCTGCTCAGCCACTGCGTCAGTGAGCCCGGGAGGTGAGGGTCTCCTGCCCAGCCACTGCGTCAGTGAGCCCGGGGAGGTGAGGGTCTCCTGCCCAGCCACTGTGTCAGTGAGCCCGGGGAGGTGAGGGTCTGCCCAGAGGCATCCGGGCCCTTTCCTCACCCCCTCCTCAGCAAACCTTCGCTGCATCCCACTGGGGGACCCCCTGCTCCTCCCGGCGGTTGTGCGGGTGACAAGCAGTCACTCAGCAACCACTCTGCGTCTCCTAACCACCTGGGCACGCAGCCCGGGGTCCCACCACCCTGTGGTCACTCCACCAGGGACTGATGGGAGAGGGAGGAAGTGAGCCCGACCCCGGCACCCATGAGCAGGACTGCAAGGAAGACAACCTGGGGGTGGGGGATGGGCCCCTTGTCCCAGGAGGAGGTGACACCGGGGCCTTGGAGAAAGGGGGGTTGGCTGGGGGGTCCTGAGTGGGGCAGGCTGAGGGGAGGAGCCGGAGGCCTCTGGAGGTGGCACCTGCAGGGACCGTGAGGGCAGAGCCAGCGCTGGGTGTGTGCCCGGGGCTGGGCTCTGGCGAGGGTCCCAGGTCACACCAGAGTGAGGGGAGGCATTCTGGGGCCACTCCAGGCCGGGAAGGACCTGTCTCAGCAGGTGTAGAGGCCACGACAGGCGCACAGGGCGCGGGATGGCCACTGTCCAGCCCCGAGAGGCCTCCCCCCGTCTCTGGCCTCCCCAGCTGCAGCCCAGTGCAGGCCCCTGCCCCGGGGAGCCCAGCCAGCAGCGTGAGTGGGGAAAGCGAGGAGCTGCCCAGGGCGAAAGGCACAGCACACCGGGCAGCAGGGCCTGGGGAGCTTGGGGCACCCAGACGCCACTGCAGGGGGCCTGGGCTCCGCGCTAGTCCCCGGTCCGGAGGAGGCCCTAGTGGACACGGGGGCAGGGCAGCCCCTCCAAATGCACCCGGTCAGAGGGGCGTGGCCAGCCTCTGGGGGGCAGGAGAGATGCGGGGGTCTCACCAGGGCCTGGGGAGATGTCCTATGTGTCCACCCACACTGCCTTCCCAGGAGCGGGGGCGGGGCAGGAGCTGCCCACACACGGCCCGGAGCCTCCCATGGGGCCAGAGTGCCACTGCCAGCCCCCGGGATGCCACCCCTCTTCCCACCCCCTTCTCTCTCCCCAGCTCCCCACCCCTCCCCCACCAGTCGCCACCCCTTTGTCTCCCTCCTCTCCCCCCATCTCCCTACCCTACTCCCCACCCCAGTTCCTCTCCCTCCAATCCCACTCCGGTAGGGAATTCTGGGAAAGGGAGAAGCTGCTCCTGCCCCCAGGCGGGAGAAGGAAGCAGAGCTGGGGGGGGGGCAGGACAGAGGAGGACACAGAGGCGTCCACATCTGCGTGGCGACCACAGAACAGCTCAGGGACCCCAAGGCCGACACCAGTCTCGGGCCCCCCGGCGCCCACTCCCCCAGTTTCCCAGGGCACCCAGCAGGAGGCCCGGGCCAGGGCTGTAAGTGGCCGCCCCAGGGCCAGGCGTGCCTTCCTGGATGAGCAGCAGTGCCCAGGGCAGGCGGGCAGGAAACAGCCCTGCTCGGGAGGCAGATGGTTCCCTGGGGGCCAGGGCCAGCCAGCATCCCTGCGGAACGCAGCTGGTGCTGCAGGCCGGGGCCGTCTTGCTGCAGGACCAGCAGGTGCCCTGTCCACCCCCCCAACCTGCTCCCTGGACTCTCCCTGGACTCTCCCCAGGCCCCAGCTGGCAGGTGCCCTGTCCCCCCCCCACACACCTCCTTGAGCTCTCCCTGGGCTCTATCCAGGAGGGGCCCAGGCCGGGCTTAGCCTTCGAGCCCAGGGAGCTCGCTCCTGCCCAGCCACAAATCCTGCTGGCTCTGCTGCAGGCTGCTGATGCGGCCACGCCCACCGCCGTCTGGGACGTGGCCTGGTCGCTTTTGGGACCAGGCGAGCACTGGGCCCAGGCCTCCCTACTGCACAGAGAGGGCGTGAGGAGGGCCCTGCTCGGGCCCAGCACTGCACTCCAGGGTGACCGGGGCCTCAGACTGGCTGATGTTTAGTCTAGGAGCTGGGCGCAGCTTTGCCGCCTGGCAGATGCCCGGCTGGTGGTCAAGAGATGGACCCCTCCTCTCGACCAAGGGTTCCCACCAGTGCCCCCGCACCAGGCCCACCTGGATGACCCAGGTCAGCCCCCTCAAGCCCAGCAGGGCAGCGGCCCGGATTGCCTCTTGCCGTGTGACATGGAACTAACATAACCCGTCCGGGTCCCAGGGTTGGGACTCCAGCCCAGGGTCCTGGCTCAGCGGGCGTTCGGTCCCCAGAACCGGATCTACTTCCTGGGGGTGGGGAGACTCCGTCTGTGTCTGCTGACCTCTCCGGGCTGCTCAGTTATCTCCCAGCTGCAGACACCCCCCAGCAGGCACCCAGGGGCCCCAGGGCGGAGGGGCCGGGACCTAGAAAGATCTGAGGAGCTGGGCAGAGGCCCACACCCGCACAGACATGGGGTCCCTTCGGCTTCTCTGCCTGGCCATGCTGGGTGAGCCCATGGGGCGCCAGGGAGGGGCTGCTGCCTGCCTCAGAGGGGTGGGCGCAGGGCCCGGGGGAGCCGGGAGGTGCGGAGCAGAGAGGGTGAGGGGTCAGCCCAGCCCCGTGCTTGCTGCAGGGGCGGCCCGATGTCGCTCCACCATCCGGGCCCGCTGCGCCCCGCTCGGCCAAACAGACCCTCCAAGTGGGGCCCCGTCCATCTTGATACCACCCCTGACCGCCTCTCGTCTCTTACAGCCGCCAGCGGCTCCCCCACGGTGCAGGAAGGAGGTGAGTAGCCCCCATGCTGGCGGGAGAGGGGTGCCGGGCTGGGGACCCTGGTGTCAGAGCCCTCACCCGCGGGGCTGCTGACTGCAGACGCCTGCGTGCAGCTGGAACATTCTGGAAGCCGGCCCGCAGCCCGGGAGGGCTCTGGGGGAGGGGAGGGGAGCAGGCCAGTGGGGGCCTTCGGAAGGGACGCAGGGCAGGGAGAGCAGCCCTCCAGGTGGGCTGTTTGGGGGTCCCTGGGCAAGTGTGTGCCAATCCTGGCCCACTGGGAGGGCGTGTCCCAGAGAGGACTGGGAGTTTGGGAATTCTGGGGGGCACCGTGGCCCGGCAGGCGAGGGACCTGCAGGCCCACCGGAGGCTCCGTGAGGGCCCTCTCAGAGGCGGCCGGAGAGTTGGGGCCTCCCTCTCCACACCTGCAGCCCGCCCGCAGGGGCCCAGCCGCCCCTGGCCGGCTCTGGCCACCAGACTGCCTGCACCCTTCTGCTGGGTGGTCCCCTCTCCCCTGCCCCGTCTCCGTAGCGGCCGCCTGCCCGTCTGCTGGGAAGCGACCCCTTTCCGGTGCGGCTGGGCCCCAGTGGGGCGTCCCCGGCTTCCACGGAAGGCTCACTTGAGTGGGGCTGGGGTTGAGCCGCCATTTCCTCATTTGCTGTAAAAACAAGTACGCCGTTGGGGCACCACTAAAAAAAGGGCGGGCAGCTGGGGTGGGGAAGTCCTTGGAGGGGCCGCCCCCCCCCCCTCAGTCTGGGCCTCTGATCCTTGCTACACTGCTGGGTGGCCGCCCGGCAAACCACGCATTCGTTGGCGAAACACTCGCTGAACACCTGTTGGGTTGCAGGAACTGTTCCAGGCACAGGGGGCCCTGGGGGGCACAGAGGCAAAGCCCCCGGATCTCACCCTCCAGTGGAGTGGGGGTGGGGAGATGCAGGGGAGCCAGCAGGGGTGCAGGAGACGGGGTGCAGGGACACGGGGGTGCACAGGATGAAGTGAGTGGGGGCAGCACTGAGCAGGGGACACGCGGCAGGGACGGTAGATAGCGAGGAGCAGGGCGGGCCTGGAGCAGGGCTCCACGCAGCCGGAGCACAGGAAGCAGGGCCAGCCAGGTCTCCTTGGCCCGTGGAGGAGTCACTTTGGTCACTGAGTTGGGACGGGAGAGCCGCGAGGCTGTGACCTGGGAAGCGAGGGGGAGGGAGGGGAATGCTGGGCTGGGGGGGGGGTCCTGCCCTGAGGCAGCTGGGGGTGGGGGGATGCGGGCACCAGGTTCAGAAGTAGTGGACTGAGCGCCAGCACTTGGAAAGGTGGCCTGGTGCAAGTGGGGACCCCCACACCCCTGGTCGGCGCGCAGGAGACTCCAGGGACGGTGGCTAAGGTGGACTAGCTCGGAAGCCGTGGACTCGTGTCCAGGGGCTGGTGAGCGAGAGTGGTGGGGAAATGCCAGGAGGATGTTGACCCCCCTCCCGATCCCGTCCAGCCCAGGGCCGGGAAGGCAGTGGGGGCCCAGCACCCCAGACAGCGCGGGAAGCCGGGGGCCGGGGCGGAGCGGGTTTGGTTTCCGTGAGTGTAGAGAGCGTGTTGGAAACACTGAGTCCAGCGGCCCCCGCTGGCCCTGCTGTCACTTTGAAAAAGAATTTATGTATTTATTTCCTTTTAAAAAGTGTTTATGTGACAGGTGTGGGGAGAGAGAGAGAGAGAGCGAGCAAGCTTGCAGGAAGTGACCCGATGAGGCTGGTGTCCCCGGTGATGGCAGACCCTCCCGCCCCTCCCCACCAGCCATCAGGAGAGCGAGGAGCAAGCAGGACAGCCGGGGCCCCAAGGAGGACTGTAAGAACCATAATCCGAGGTGTGAGTTTGCTTCCCATGGTCCAACAGGTTTCCCCAGCCGGGTAATCTGCATTTCTGGGCGGAGCTAAGACAGGAGAGAGGGTGTTCCCACTTGCTGGCTCACTCTTCAGATGCAGGCCAGGGCCTGGGGCCAGAGCCGGGAGCTGGAACCCCATCCAGGGGCCGAGTCCTGGAAGCAGGACCGCGGGCTCCCAGGGTGTGTGTGGGCTCCCAGGGTGTGTGCAGGGCTCCCAGGGTGTGTGTGGGCTCCCGGGGTGTGTGCAGGGCTCCCAGGGTGTGTGCAGGGCTCCCAGGGTGTGTGTGGGCTCCCAGAGTGTGTGTGGGCTCCCAGAGTGTTCAGGGCTCCCAGGGTGTGTGCAGGGCTCCCGGGGTGTGTGCAGGGCTCCCAGGGTGTGTGCAGGGCTCCCAGGGTGTGTGTGGGCTCCCAGGGTGTGCAGGGCTCCCAGGGTGTGCAGGGCTCCCAGGGTGTGTGCAGGGCTCCCAGGGTGTGTGTGGGCTCCCAGAGTGTGTGTGGGCTCCCAGAGTGTTCAGGGCTCCCAGGGTGTGTGCAGGGCTCCCGGGGTGTGTGCAGGGCTCCCAGAGTGTGCAGGGCTCCCGGGGTGTGTGCAGGGCTCCCAGGGTGTGTGCAGGGCTCCCAGAGTGTTCAGGGCTCCCAGGGTGTGTGCAGGGCTCCCAGAGTGTTCAGGGCTCCCAGGGTGTGTGCAGGGCTCCCGGGGTGTGTGCAGGGCTCCCAGAGTGTGCAGGGCTCCCGGGGTGTGTGCAGGGCTCCCAGGGTGTGTGCATGGGCTCCCAGGGTGTGTGCAGGGCTCCCGGGGTGTGTGCAGGGCTCCTGGGGTGTGCAGGGCTCCCGGGGTGTGTGCAGGGCTCCCAGGGTGTGTGCAGGGCTCCTGGGGTGTGCAGGGCTCCCGGGGTGTGTGCAGGGCTCCTGGGGTGTGCAGGGCTCCCGGGGTGTGTGCAGGGCTCCTGGGGTGTGCAGGGCTCCCGGGGTGTGTGCAGGGCTCCCGGGGTGTGTGCAGGGCTCCCGGGGTGTGCAGGGCTCCCGGGGTGTGCAGGGCTCCCAGGGTGTGTGCAGGGCTCCCGGGGTGTGCAGGGCTCCCGGGGTGTGTGCAGGGCTCCCGGGGTGTGTGCAGGGCTCCCGGGCTGTGTGTGGGCTCCCGGGGTGTGTGCAGGGCTCCCAGAGTGTCAGGGCTCCCGGGGTGTGCACTAGCAGGAAGCTGGAGTTGGAAAGGAGCCCAGGTGCCTCCTCACCTGCAGCCGGAGGCCGCTCCCTGAACACGGCTTGGGGGAACCCGGTTCAGCCCTTGACAAATCGGGCAGCTTGCTCAAAGTCCGGTCCCTGGGCCCTCGCTCGCTCCCCAGGGTTGGAAGCCCTGAGCCTCCACTGTCACAGAGACAAGTCTGAGGGGGCAGGGCCCGTCCTGAAGCCACACAGGCCAGTGTCCGGCGCGGGGCCTTGGCTTGACAGCATCGTCGGTCTCCAGCACCACGGGCCCTCGCCCACAGGAGGCTCGGAGCAGCCTCCCCCAGCCCAGGTCCCGGGGGTGTGGCCTTTCGATCCTGGGCGTGGCAGCCTGTCACTCAAGCGTCCTCACCAGCCCGTGAACTTTAGATGGAATGGCAGATGTCCTGATATCACAGGGCTGGGTTCATGAATGGACTGATCAGAAGGAAACCCACGGGGCCAGCGCTGTGGTGCAGCGGGTTAAAGCCCCGGCCTGCAGCGCCGGCATCCCATATGGGCACCGGTTTAAGTCCCGGCTGCTCCACTTCCGATCCAGTTCTCCGCTAGGGCCTGGGAAAGCAGCAGAAGATGGCCCAGGTCCTTGGGCCCCTGCACCCGTGTGGGAGACCTGGAGGAAGCTCCTGGTTCTTGGCTTCAGATTGGCACAGCTCAGACTGTTGGGGCCATCTGGGGAGTGGACCGGCAGATAGAAGACCTCTCTCTCTCTCTCTCTCTCTCTCTCTCTCTCTCTCTCTCTCTGCCTTTCAAATAAATAAATCTTTAAAAACAAAAAAGGAAACCCACAAGTCTGTTGGAGTGAACGGTGGGTCTCTCTGAGAACTTATGCAAATCCAGCTTCTATTCACAGTGAGGGGCGGAAACGCAGGAGGCAGCGAGCAAAACCTGGGGTGAGGGGCGGTGATGGCGCCCTCAGACCCCCGCCGCCCCACGTGAGCGGGGACCCTGGTCCTCGATGTGTTTGGACCACGAGGAGGAAGCCACTGGTCACCCCACCCCCCGAGGAAGGGCTGCAAGAAGGCTGCCCCAGGGAGGGAACCGAACTCAGCTGATGAGAGAACACGTGCCGGTCGGCAGCTGGGCAGTGAAGATGTGGGCATGGGACCCCCGCACCCACATCCTTGTGCTGCTCCAACTCCAGCCTCCTGCTGATGTCCGCCCTGGGAGGCAGCAGGCCCCGGCCGCAATGGCTGGGTCCCCACGACCCCCTGGGAGACCAGGATGGGGCTCCTGGGCCCTGGCTTTGGCCTGGTGTAACCCCAGCTGTGGCAGGCGTCTGGGCAGTGAACCAGCGGAGGGAAGGTCTCTGTGTCTGTCTCTCTCCCTCTGTCTCTCTGCCTTTTGAATACTTTTAAATAAAACCTATATTCTATTTTTTTTTTAAGATTTATTTTATTTGGGGCCGGCGCTGTGGCACAGCGGGTTAACTCCCTGGCCTGATGCGCCAGCATCCCATATGGGCGCTGGTTCGAGTCCCGGCTGCTCCTCTTCCAATCCAGCTCCCTGCTGTGGCCTGGGAAAGCAGTGGAAGATGGCCCAAGTGCTTGGGCCCCTGCACCCACGTGGGAGACCCAGAAGAAGCTCCTGGCTCCTGGCTTTGGATCAGCACAGCTCCAGCTGTCACGGCCAACTGGGGTGTGAACCAGTGGATGGAAGACCTCTCTCTCTCTCTCTGCCTCTCCTCTCTCTGTGTAACTCTGTGACTTTCAAATAAATAAAAAAGATTTATTTTATTTATTTGAAAGGCAGAGTTAGAGTTACAGGGTGCAGAGGTAGAGACAAAGAGAGACAGAGACAGAGCGAGATCTTCCAACTGTTGGTTCACTCCCTGGATGGTCGCAACAGCTGCTGCCTGTTTCGCCGGCATCCCCTGTGAACATCGGTTCACACTCTGGCTGCTCTGTTTGCAACCCGGCTCCCTGCTAATGCGCCTGGGAAGGCAGTGGAGCACGGCTCAAGCGCTTGGACCCCTGCACCCACGTGGGAACCTGAATGGAGTTCCAGGCTCCTGGCTTCAGCCTGGTCCAGCTCCAGCTGCTGTGGCCATTTGGAGATGAACCAGAGGATGGAAAACATCTGTCGCTCCCTCTCCCTGTAATTCTGTCTTTCACATAAATAGATAAATCTTTAAAAATATAAACAGAGCCAGCTCTGGGCATAGTGGGTTAAGCCGCTGTCTGCAGTGCCAGCATCCCATATGGGTGCCTGGGAAAGCAGCTGAAGATGGCCCGCATCCCTGGGCCCTGCCCCTAAGTGCAGGAGACCAGAGAAGCTGCCGGCTCCTGGCTTTGGATCGGCCCTGTCCTAGCTGTTCAGCCATTTGGAGAGTGAACCAGTGGATGGATGCTCGCTCTCTCTCTCTCTGTCTCTCTCTCTCTGTAACTCTGCCTTTCAAATAAATAAGTAAATCTAAAAGTATAAATCAAGCGACAGCGCAGTGGCCCCGCGTATGTCCCAGCAGTGCGCACCCGTCACCTCTCTCTCGTTCCAAAGCCCCAGAGGAATGGCCACACCCACCAAGCTGCCCCTCCCCGGCCCTGGGCAGGCAGCCCGCGCCCCGGCTCTGCCGTTTCACACACAGCAGCTGCCTCCTGTGCCCCACTCCTCTTTCTGAAGGCCGCACTCGGCCTGATCTTCAGCTGCGCAGTCCGGCAACACCTCGCTCCGTTCCCTTCTGCTTCATCCACTGCACAGAGGCACCGAGGCGTCCCCCTGTGCCACTCGCCGTCTGCGCTCCGTGGTGTTAAGGCCAGTGTGGCGCCACGTGTCTGTGTCCCGCTCCTTTTTAAAGCCGAGTAATATTCCTTTTTCTAAGATGCGCTTGTTTATTGGAAAGACAGCGTTGGGGAGAGAGAGAGAGAGAGAGAGAGAGAGAGAGAGAGAGAGAGAAATGGGGTGGGGAGCTTCCACCCGCTGGGTCACTCCGCAAATGGCTCAACGGCCGGGGCTGGGCCAGGCTGAAGCCGGCAGCCTGGAACCCGCCCGGGTCTCCCACATGGGTGGCAGGGGCCCAAGGACTTGAGCCATCATCTTCCTCACCAGGACGACAACCAGGCGCTCTGATACAGGACGCGGGCGTCCCAACCAGAGGCTTAACCCGCTGCGCCGCCACGCCCGCCCCAGCCCACCACGTCTGCTAATGGCCGCGACGGTGCTGCCGTGACACGCGTGTGCACGTGGGTCGTTCCCGACATCACTCTGCTCAGCCTGTCAGCTGCCACCAAGCCACGTCTTTGTCTCATACTTGATTAATGCGGTTTTTTTTTTTTTCCTTCCTCCTCCGACCACTTCTGCCAGAAATGGCCCCGGAGACCTCCATTGCCTACAAAGTCCTGGAAGTTTACCCCAGAAGGCGCCTGGTCGTCATCACCTGCCACTCACCGCAGGCGCCCCTGCCCGTCACCTACTCCCTCTGGGGGAGCCAGGACACCCTGGTGACCAAGAAGGTGGTGAGGACCCCCGCGCCGGCCTCCTTCACCATCAACGTCACACTCAAGTCCAGCCCGGACCTGCTCACCTACTCCTGCCAGGCGGCCTCCAGCTCGGGCGCCCACGCGGCCAGCGCCAGATTACACATGTACTGGGAGCTGTGGGCCAGTGAGTGAGGGCCCCGCGGGGCGGGGCGGGGCGGGGCGGGGGAGCTCCCGGGCGGGGATTGCGGGTTCTGAGGGCTGGGCCAGGAGGCTGCCACCTGCAGCCACTCTCAGTGTCCTGGGGGCTGGTCCCAGGTCAGGCCCCACCCCGGCTGGAGATCCCCTGGGCAGGAGCCCGAGGACGCAGCACGAAGGAGCTCAGGGTGGGAGTGACCAAGGCCCAGGCCCTGACAGGTGCAGCTCCGAGCTGTCCCGGCGGCGCTGAGGGTGGCTCCAGGCTCTGGTCCAAGCGTAGCCCCAGATGTTCACGGGGGAGTGGAATTAAAAGACAAACTTCTTATGGTGCAAAACAGCTTGAGGTTCATGAAATAAGAGGTCTTTAGGATGCTCATCAAAAATCCATGTTGCAGAAAACACGGATTTCAAAAAATGGGGGGCCAAAAGACTCGCATTCTTATTTATTTTATTTGAAAGACAGAGAGAGAGAGAGAGAGAGAGAGAGAGAGAGAGAGAGAAGTCTTCCATTGGCTGGTTCATTCCCCAGATGGCTGCAACGGCCGGATCTGATCTGATCCGAAGCCAGGAGCCTCTTCCCAGTCTCCCACGCGGGTGCAGAGGCCAAGCGCTTGGGCCTCCTCCACTGCTTTCCCAGGACACAGCAGAGAGCTGGATCGGACATGGAGCAGCCGGGACTCGAACTGGCGCCCACATGGGATGCCCGCACTGCAGGCGGCAGCCTTACCCGCTACGCCATAGTGCCGGCCCCCATACCCGCATTTTTATTTGCTGAGTCTGGCAACCCAAAATAAACTACACATGAATGGAACTGACTTGCGGGGCTGGTGCTGGGGTGCAGTGGGGTGAGCGGCCTCCCCGGAAGCCTGCTCCCGTCTCAGTGCCTGGGGTTGCCTCCCACCTCCGCGCCGGCCCAGCTCCCTGCTAGCACATCTGGAGGCCCCGCCCCAGGGGATGCTGGGGCCCTGGCTCCCAGGTGAGAGACCTGGAAGGGCTTGCTGGCTCCTGCTGCCTCCTGGCACGGCCCTGGCTGCTACGGGCATTTAGGCAGTGAAGCCGCAGAGGAAAGCGCGCCCGCCCGCTCGCTCTCTGCCTTCACATAAAAATACATTTAAAAATACATTTAAAAAGCCTCAAAAGTAGTAGGCTGATACCGGGCGGAGGCGGCACTCCAGCGGGCTGCCTGGAGGAGGCAGCGAGCACAACCAAGCCTCATTAGGTGATTTTTTTTGTCTTTTTGTTTTCTTTCTTGCCCTTATTTTAAAATTTTTTTGTTTTTTAAAAGATCTTTATTTATTGGAAAGGTAGAGTCACAGACCCAGAGGGAGACAGAGACAAAAAGAGAGAGAGAGAGAGAGAGGTCTTCCATCCACTGGTTCATTCCCCAAATGGCTGCAACGGCTGGAGCTGGGCCGGGCTGAAGCCAGGAGCCAGGAGCTTCCTCCTGGTCTCCCATGGGGTGCAGGGCCCAAGCACCTGGGCCATCCTCCACTGCACTCCCAGGCCACAGCAGAGAGCTGGACTGGAAGTGGAGCAGCTGAGACACGAATCAGGATTCTGGCACTGAAGGCGGCGGCTTTTACCGGCTCGCCAGGGCGCCGGTCCCCGCCTTGTTTTGATGAGGGAGGGGTCTAACATCTTCCACCACGCCTTTGCCCCCTCCTTCCAGAGCCAGTGTCGCAGCTGCAGGCCTCCTTCATCCTGCAGGACCAGGGGTCAGGCCCTGAGGTGCAGGTGTCCTGCCAGGCGTCCTCAGGCAGCCCTCCCATCTCCTACAGCCTGGTAGGGAGGGACGGGCACGTCCGCTTGCGGCAGACGCCACTCCCCGGGCGGCCTGCCAACTTCTCCATCCCGCTGTCCCGGACGCCAGGCTGGCTCCAGTGCCGGGCCGAGAACGAGGTCGGAGCCCAGAGCAGTTCCTTCACGCTGCTGCCACCAGGTGAGGGGCCCGGTGGCTCGCGGGGGCCACTGGTCCCCCGGGACCGGGAGGGCCAGAGGGCGGAGGGTGGAGGAAGTGGGACAGCTCCAGCCGGCCGCTGCCACCTCCCTCGCAGGGGAGCTGCCCGAGGGACCCGCCTTGGTGCTGGCCGGCAGCCTCACGGTCATTTCAGCTATCACCTCTGGGATGCTGGGCTGGAACATGCGGACCAGGTAGGAGACGGGTGCCGCAGACGGGGAGGAGGGGCTGCCGGTGGCCTGGGGCACCCACAGGGGCAGCAGGGGCACGGGGCGGACTGCTGAGGAGTGGTGGACAGTGAGGACAACCACCTTCACGGTGCACCTGCCCCGGGCCACCCTGGGATGGATTCGGCTGGCTCTGCGTGCCCAGGAGATTCCGTCCTCAAGGGGCGAGAGGAGCCAGGGGCTGGGCTCCCCACTCCGAGGTCACGGCCCCACTGTCAAGTGTCCAGGCCTTTGGTCACCCAGCCCTGGCACACGGCCTTGGTGGGGGCCACCCCTGCTCCCTCGTGGACACTGCCGTGTCCTGGTGAGGGGCTCTACCCTTTCAAGAGGCCAGACTCGGGGTGACCCTGCCACCTGAGCCCCTGTTCTCCGCTCTACGAAGTGGGCACAGGGACCTGGCTCCCACTGGCCCGTGACCCGGGCCAGCCTCCTCCCATCCTCCTGCCCGGCCTCCCTTGGCTGACCCGGGCCTCCACGCCTTCGTCATCAGGCTGTGATCCGGGACGTGGCTTGGCTCCGAGTTTTCTTGGCTGCCCTAGAGAGAGACCCGCGGCGGAATGAAGACAGACGAAGGTCGTGGCGGTGGGGGGGTGGGGGAGTGGGCCATGCAGGTCAGGGGACAGGAAGTAGTGGACGTGTCAGAGGAGCAGGCCCCACTGGAAAGGACGCGCGGGACACTGGTGATGGAACCGACCTGCACGTGGGACTGTTAGCTGCTCTGACGCAAGAATGCGGCAGCTATGAGAGCCCTGCACCTGCTCTCGCTGTCTCTGTGTACCCCTAACACTCACAATAAAATCCATCTAAAAAAGGGGGTGAGTGTTGGGGTGCAGCGGGTTAAACCAGCATCCCTCATGAGCACCGGTTCGAGTCCAGCTGCTCCACTTCCGATGCAGCTCCCTGCTAATGCACCTGGCAAGACAGCAGGGGACGGCCCGAGTGCTTGGGCCCTGCACCCAGGTGGGAGACCCGGATGACGTTTTGAGTTCCTGGCCACGGCCTGGACCAGCCCTGGTCTTTGCAGCCATTTGGGGGGGGGGGTGAGCCAGTGGATGGACCATCTCCTCTCTCTCTGTCTCCCCTCACACACACTCTGTCTTTTAAATAAATCTTTAAAAAAAAAAAGGCCAGTCCAGGCCGCCAGCTGCAGCTCTCTAAGCGCCAAGGGCCTTTGGCAAACACTTGCGACGCTGGCTTGAGAATCCAGCAGCTGATGGAAGGCTCCCGCCCTCCTCTCACCTGCTGTCACCCGCTGTCACCCGCAGCTGCTCCCTGGCGGCTGGACGCGGACTGCTGCTGGCCCAGTCCTGCGACTCAGCTCTCCCTCTGACCAGCTCACTGCCGGGGGTACGCAGGGACCCGCCCACCCCGCGCGCGCGTGGGAATCCTCACCTGAGGCCAGCCAGGTCGGGGGTCCGATGGCCGCTCCCGCCCCCCAGCCCAGCCCCAGCCGGCTGTGCTGGGGTGGGGGTGGGGCTGTAACTGGCGTCCACCCTGGCCCCTGGCCCTCACCCTGGGACCCTGCGGTCGGGGCGTGCAGCGTCACGGGACCTCCCAGTGCGACCACCCGGTCCCGGAAGAATCAAGGGGTGGGGGAGGCCTCGAAGGGAGGGGGCGCCAGGCTGCGGCCCGGGGTGTGGAGTGCGGCGCCGGGGACGCGGCGTCTGCCGGGTTCGCTGACCCTTCCGGGGGCCCGGAGCGGGGACACGCAGCGCCCGCGGCGCCGCCGCCCCGCCCCTCCCCGTCCCCACTGCGGCCGCCCCGCACTTTTGCCCCTCCCCGCCCCGCCGCACCCCCACTCTGGCCCCGCCCCGCCGCGCCCCCACTCTGGCCCCGCCCCCGGAGGCGGGGCGCGCGGAGCGGCCGGGCTGGTTCCTCGGCGATCGGCGGCGGCGGCGGCGGCGGCGGCGGCGGCGGCGACATGGAGAGTGGGGCCTACGGCGCGGCCAAGGCGGGCGGCTCCTTCGACCTGCGGCGCTTCCTGGCGCAGCCGCAGGTGCTGGCGCGCGCCGTGTGCATGGTGAGCCGGGGGGCGCGCGCGGGCGGCCGCGGGGACCTCACGGCGCCGCGGGCGCGACAGGTGGCGGCGGCCGAGCGTCCCGGGCCTGGCGGCGCGCACGGGGCCGGCGTCCGGCGGCCCGGGCCCCGCCTTTTGCCCTCCTCGTCCCCGGCCCCCCCGTCCCGCCTGCCCCCGGGTCCTGGGCCCCCGCGCCGTCGGTCCCTGGCGCGGGGTGTCCCCGAGGCGCGTCGGGGAGCGGGCCTGTCGCCCTGCTGGCAGGGGAGGAGCCTGGGGCGGCTCCAGGGCAGGTGGCTTTCACGCTGCGGCCCCAAGCGCGGGGAACCACCGGGTGGGGGCTTCTCGAGGCCACGTGCAGGGGCGGGGAGTCCGGGGAGCCCCCCTGGAAGCTGGCCGGGGGTCTGCTTCCCCACGCGAGACCCCGCGTGCCTGTGGAGCGAGCCCTGCAGCCCTGGGTTCCTGGCGCGGAGGGGTGTCCCGCCCTTGGACCACAAAGGCCGCCAAGGCCTTGGCAGTGGGCAGGCAGGGCGGTGGGCCGGTCCTGCTCACACCAGCCATGCCTGCAGGGACCCCCACATCCGCTCCCAGCCTGACTGGGGTGAAGGCACCATCGGGGGCCGTGTGTGCCTGTGGGCAGGACAGCAGTGCCAGGAGTCCCATGGGGCAGTGAGCCCAGCATCCCGGAGTTCCGGCTTCATCCCAGCGCGGGGGTGGAGCCTGTGGAGTAGGCAGGGCAGAGCCAGGCGTGGAGCCTGAGGGGAGGCACCCAGGTGCCCACAGACCTGTCCCACGTCTGGAGGCCGAGGGTGGGCTTGGGCAGCGGCCTTGAAGTTCGGGGAGGAGGCAAGGAGGACATGGGCTATCCCCAGGGGGCTGGTGGATTCCCCGCCACCCCCCACCCTGACCACCTGGAGTGTGTGCCTGGGCACAGATGGGCTGTGGGGAGAGGACGGCCCTGCAGGGAGCAAGCTGGCCAGCCTGGGCCAGGGCAGGGCCGGGGGCTCTCCCAGGCTGGAGCCAGTCACAGCCTGGCACGTGGAAGTGACCTGCGGAAGACAGTGGGCTGGAGGGTGGCTGAGACACGGGTCTGGGCTCTGTGGCTGTGTGGCCCGTCTCGTCTGAAACCCAAAGTGGGTGTGGGGCCGTTGGGCCAGGGCCGCCCCTCCCAGGAGATCCCCTCCATTCCCCGTCCCTCCCCGGGCCGGGAATCCCCAGGGCCGTCGCGGGCGGGGGTGGGTGGCCTGCGAGCCCGGAGGGGCGGCGGCGCTGTGGGTGCGCCGTGCCCCGACCCGGCCGCAACGCCGCCTCTCCCGGCAGGTTTTCGCCTTGATCGTTTTCTCCTGCATCTTCGGCGAGGGCTACAGCAACACCCCGGAATCGTCGCAGCTGTACTGCGTGTTCAACCGCAACGAGGACGCCTGTCGCTACGGCTGTGCCATCGGGGTGCTGGCCTTCCTGGCCTCCGCCTTCTTCTTCGTGGTCGACGCCTATTTCCCCCAGATCAGCAGCGCCACCGACCGCAAGTACCTGGTCGTGGGAGACCTGCTCTTCTCAGGTACCTGCCGGGGCCGGCTCCTCCGCCCGCTCTCGGGAGCCGAATGTGAGCAGGACGTGTGGGTTCTGGGGTCCCGCGGTGGAGCGGCGCGGGGGCCCCAGCGCCCCGCTGTGTCCCTTTGCACCCAGGGCCGGCAGTGAGGGGCCTGGAGGTCCCAGGCCCCTGGGCCGGACCCCTGCCGGGCCTCCCGCTGTGTCCTTACCTCCAGCCACTGCCCCAGCCCCCCTGGAGGCTCCCCGGAGCCCCCGCCTTGGGGCCTTCCTGATGCTGACCCCTCCCCTCCCCAGCTCTCTGGACCTTCCTGTGGTTCGTCGGCTTCTGCTTCCTGACCAACCAGTGGGCGGCCACCCAGCCGGGAAGCGTGCTGGTGGGGGCCGACTCCGCCCGGGCAGCCATCGCCTTCAGCTTCTTCTCCATCTTCTCCTGGGTAGGGGCCGGGCGGTGGGGGGTGGCCGCCTCTCCCACGCGCGCCCTGTGCCCTCCCTCAGCCCGAGCCTCGGGTCTCCCCGCAGGGCCTGCTGGCCTCCCTGGCCTACAAGCGCTACAAGGCCGGAGTGGACGACTTCATCCAGAACTATGTGGACCCCACCCCGGACCCGAGCACAGCCTACGCCTCCTACCCCGGCGCCACCGTGGACAACTACCAGCAGCCTCCCTTCACCCAGAACGCCCAGACCACCGAGGGCTACCAGCCGCCCCCTGTCTACTGAGCGGCGGCCGGGGGCAGGGTGGCTGGGGTCCCCTGCACCCTGAGCTCCCCCCTCGGAGTCCACCTCCTGGGGCTCCTGCCTCGTGCCTGCCCCAGTTAGCACAGCCCGAGAGCGCACCCAAGTGCCTGTGCCCTCGGGGGCTCCGCAGCCACCCACTCACTCCTCCAAGGCCTTTTGTACTAGAGGGTTTTTAGCTATCCGCGCGTTTTCTCGTCGCTTTGAGTGGCTCCCGGCCACGGAGAGAACCACTGCTGTTCCGACAAGCGCCACGGCTCCTCCCCAGCCCCAGGGAGCCGGCCTGGGGCTAAGGCTATGGCCGCTCCGGTTGTTTGATTCTCTGCCAAAGCCGAGGCTGGGGGTCCCAGCACCTGTCTGTGGCCCCGGCCCCTCACTCAGGTTATGGACTCACCCCCGCCCGCAGCGTGGGCTGGGGTCCTCACCCTCTGCCCGGTGTTGCTGACAGCCGTGGGGTCCGTGGGGCGGGGCTGGTGCCCACCCCAGCGGCCTGGAAGACACTTCCTCCTTGCCGCCCGCCTGTAACACCCAGCTTTATGTAAATACCCCGCCACTGCTGTGAGGGGGCGGGCCCGGGCTGTGGGTCCCGCAGCCCCCAGACCCAGGGACGGACTCAGCCCGAGTTGCCCCGTGCCCTTGGGCTCTGTTAGCCTGGTTTGCAGATGGAATAAATGTTTTTCTCATTCTGTCTCCCACACTGGCCTCGGTCGGGCCCCAGGCTGGGGGCGGGCAGGCAGGGCCTCCCGCGGGCCTGGGCCCTGCTGGGGTCTCATTCCTCACGCTGCCTTCCATCAGTCTCTTAAAATAACCACTGCGCTCAGCTGGTAAACACGCCGGGCTTTCCTGCTCCCTTCCCAGGGCTGGGACGCCGGGAGTCGCTGCTCCGAACCAGCCTGCCCGGCCCCTGGACGCCTCCCCCGGGAGCAGCGGCAGGGCTCGGCCTGGCCGCAGCAGGAACTCCTCCTGGCTTCCTCTTTCGAGCTGTGACAGCCATCGACTGCGGGCGGGCCAGTTTCAAAATCCCGAGCACACACGTGGACAGGGTGGGGTGAGCGCCAGCCCCTGCTGTGGCTGCCCCCTGGGGGCCCACGCCCGCACAGGGCCTGGGGGAGCCAGCTAGGTGTCCGGTGGCCCTCACACCTGGGCCTGCGCCCAGCCCGGCCCCTTCCTGCCCGGGCGAGCTCCCGGCAGCCCATTTTCCGAGGCACCGCTGAGTGGCATCTTCTTGGCTCCTGGACGACCCGAGTGTCTGTTTCACAAACAACACCTGACCACCGGCCTGGCGGGCGGCCTGAGACGCCTCGGCTGCCGGACCTGGGCTCCGGGCTCCCACTCACTCCTCTCGTTGAATGTTCATTTGTTCTTTTATTCGGAAGGCAGAGACAGAAATCTCCTGGCTGCTGGCTCCCTCCCCCCACCAGTCAGGGCTGGGCCCGGCTAAATAAAGCCTGGAGCTTGACTCCACGTGGGTCCCCTGTGTGGGTGGCAGGGGCCCAGGCACTCCCATGTGGGGTGCGGGTCCCCCAAGCAGCGTCCAAAACCCACTCGGAAAGGCAGGCGAGGGCTGGTGCCGCAGGAACACTGTCAGTTACGAGAGGAGTGTCACTCCGACGAGGACTGGGTCGGGATCCCCACGTGAATCGCGTGGGTGCTGTCTACGTGAGACCTGGGAGGCCCCACTCACAGAAGTGCTCTCACACCAGCTGGCAAATTCTAATATTAGTTATAATTAATTTCATACACTATGGCAAAAGGGTAGACCCTGCCTCCCCCCAGGCCCAGCCCGGTGCAGCCCCCTGGCGTCCGCCCCAGCCGGGCTGGTGCCACCAACGGAAGAGGCCGATTCCGGGGAAACCCGCTGCCCCGCTGGGAGGGGCTTTCAGCCGCGAGGGCGGCCAGAGGGGTCAAGTCTCAAGGTGCAGGCCAGAGACTTCACAGGAAGAACAGAAACTCGGCAGTGAAAGCCACAAAGGGGGAAGAAGCCAGCGGTTAACGTCACGGCCACGTGGGGCTCTGCCCCTCTCCCTGGAGTGGGGGTGTCTGCGGCGGCCAGGCAGGGCCACCCCCGGCTGGGCGGGCCTACACAGCAGCCAGAAAGGGAACCAAAAGTGCCAGGGACGGAGACGGAACCCGCTTTCCTCCCGGCTTCCTCTTGTGCAGAGCCACAGGGTGTGGGGCGTGGGCTCCCGCCAGGGGGCAGCAGCAGGGGCTCTGGGCTCTCAGTTGGCCGCGAGGCTACACTGCAGGACCTGCTGGGGGGCGAAGAGCTTCCTGGCGGCCGTGGCCTCGGCCGGCTTGGCCAGCGCCGGGCAGTTCTCCTTGTCCGGCCCTGCAGGCGGGCCCGTGGACTTCTTGAAGTAGCACAGGCGGCACACGGAGTGGTACTTGTCCGCCCCACCGATCACCTCCACCTGAGAGCGGTGACACAGCGGGCTGAGTGCGGGGACGCGCCCCGGCCCGCCCGGCCCGGGAGAACCGGCGGGAGCTACCTCTTTCTCGGAGCCCAGCCTCTTGGTGTAGGCGGCTTCCCGGAAGCACTCCATGCACACGGCTGTCAGCTTCACCACGCTCTCGGCCAGGGGCACCAGGTTCAGGATGGAGCCGAAAGCCTACATCGGCGCGGAGAGACGGCAGGGCCCTGGGTCACCTCCATGAAGTGCAAGCAAGGAAGCCAGGACCTCGATTCCCCCGCCCTGCTCTGTGTCCTGGGGCCAGTCTGGACAGACCAGGCAGTGCTTGGACTTGGGCACACCTGGGCCGAGCAGCCCGGAGTTGCACTGAGACGGGGGGAAGGGGGAGCTCGGTGCCGCACCGAGGCCCTGCCCCTGCCCCAGGTGCCACCCCGACACCCAGATCAGGCGCCTTACCTTCCTCTGGAAGGTTCCATCCAGGGCAGCCACAATCACCGTCTTCCCGGAGTTGGCCATGGCCTCGCAGAACTCCACGATGTCGGGGAACTGGGGGCGGGGAGAGGACAGTGAGCTCCCGCCCTGAGCCGTGGCTTCCAGATCCAGCGACCGGGACCCACTGGGAGCGTGAGCCATAGATAGCGCTGCCCTCCGAGGCCCCCTAGGCCCGGGGCACAGCCTGCTTCCCGCCTCCGGGCCCAGGACGTAGGATCAGGTGGCTGCCCGGCACGGGCCCGGGCTCGGCTGCCACTCGTGGTCGGAGCTGGTAGCTGTATGACCTTGGCGGCGGCGGCACGTGTCCGGCCTTCGTTGTTGGCTGAAGGTCTAAAGGGGCTTAGCTGTGATCCACCCTACGTGCTGCCTGACACCAGGTGGCCCTTGGGAAGCAGGGACCGTCCACGTCTCCCGGAGCAGGGAGACAAGGCTCGGCCTTAAATACAGAGCCTGCGGAAGCACGCGCACGTGGGCAGTCAGGGGCCAGCCCACGTGGCCCAGGCAGAGGCTGCCGCTTGAACACGAGAAACGTCGAATTTTCATCGGGCAAGCAAATCCACTTCGGATGATCACGTTTAGGGTACTTCAAAAAGCTGAGGAAATGGAATTACAGGTAAATTTGGGGCAGGTGCTGAGCCCAGAGGCCAAGGTGCCTGGGTGTCCCCATGAGCTAACGCAGAGCCTGGCAGGAAGCTAGCTCGAGCGCCTGCCTCCTCCATGGGAGACCTGGACTGAGACCGGCTCCTGGTGTCGTGGGCGCTTGGGGACGAACCACAGGGTGAGTGCTCGCTCCGTGCCCTCACTTAAACGGAAAGCTTACAAGTAAATTTATCTTTCCACGAATTTTGGTTTATATTTATATGGAAGGCAGAGACAGAGAGAGCGAGAGAGCGAGAGCGAGAGAGATCTCACAGTGGCTGGCTTACACCCCAAATGCCCACAACGGCCAAGCCTGGCTGACGGAAGCCAGGAGCAGAGGCCCAGGGGCTTGGGCCGTTGCCACGGTCTCCCAGGACGCAGCTGGCGGGAAGCTGGCGTGCGTGTGGAGCTGGGCCTGGAACGCAGAAGGGGGGCTGGGAACCTGCGTCCCGGGCGGCACCCAGCACCCGACAGCCATCCTCACTGCCATCGGTCTGCTAGGTTACGTGCCCCCTCCCCCACCCTCACCCCCAACACCTCAGGGTGTCGCTTTACAGGCAGGGGTGACCAGGTCAAAGTGCAGTCAGAGGTCAGAGGTCGGGCTCCAACCCAGTGACAGATGTCATTATAAGAGATCCGGGGCCGGCGTTTGGCCTGGTGGCTGAGATGCCGGTTAGAGAAGGGAAGGGCAGGCGGAGGCTGGAAAAGGCAGCTCACGGCGGCGAAACAGATGCAAGGGGAAGGGGCCAGCCACGCGGGTGAGACGTGGGAGACGCAGGCTCCCCCCCTCCCGGCAGCCCAGCCAAGGCCCCTGCTGCCCACCATAACCTCACGGCCAGGGCGGTCACCCCGGTGACTTCCGGGGTCTCTGCCCGAGGTCCCCCCACGTTCCCCAGCGCCTGCCCCGGCCCCGTCACAGCCCCAGTATTTCCGCTATAGCCTCGCAGCTACTCCGAGGTCGCGTGGCGCACTGGGGGTCCCCACGGCTCCCTCCACGGCCCACGGAGCACCGTCCTCACCGGGTCCCTCCCTCTAACGCACAGCACACCTGCCACTCGAGGCTCAGGGCCCAGCCCGTGGTTTGCGTCTCCCACACCCAGACACTGCTGCCACGTGGCACTAAGAATGAACGGGACCGGCCCTTGGACCTGGCCACCTCAGCTGTAGACCCCCCGACGCCCGGCAGATGCCTTCCACGTCACACACAGGGCTCAGGGAAACACGGTGCACTCCTCAGGATGGGTGTTTGCTGACCAGGACCGACCTGGCACCATGGTTAAGCCACGGCGCGCAGACTCCTGGGGTCACCATCAGGCAAGGACACCCTGCGACTGATGAATCAAGACAAAAACATTGAGGCGTAGCGGATGAAGCCACCGCCTGTGACACCAGCATCCCAAATGGGCGCAGGTTCGAGCCCCAGCTGCTCCACTCCTGACCCAGCTCCCTGCTGTGGCCCGGAAAAGCAGTGGAAGATGCCCAAGTCCTTGGGTCCCTGCACCTGCGTGGGAGACCGGGAGGAAGCTCCTGGCTCCTGGCTTCAGATCGGCCCAGCTCCAGCCGTTGTGGCCATCTGGGGAGTGAACCAGCGGATGGAAGCCCTCTCTCTGTCTCTACCTCTCTCTGTAACTTCTGTAACTCTGTCTTTCAAATAAATGAAATCTTAAAAAAAAAAATCACCCTCGCCTACTGCCATCAGCCCTGAGGCCCGCGGCCCCGGCCATGGAGCTGGTTACTGCACTCCGGGGCGGCCCAGGCGCTGGGGTTCCCACCCAGAGGATTTCCCCAAATGCCAGTGATCTCTGTGAAGCACCCCAGGCACCGCTGTGCCTTTGCCAGAGTCACAGATTAGCACGGAAGCTGAGCTTGAGGGAGGCACAGCCGCTCCTGCGTGAGAAGGGGGACCGGGGGCTGGAGGCCCCGCCCCCACCGTGCACAGGAGGCCCGAGCTCCCGGAGAACAAAGGCCCCAGCCGCGAGGGAGCAGCGTGGAAGTCGGGGATGTTTTCACAGTGAGTAAGACAAACACCCCTGCTCGCGGGAGGAAGCAGCCTCACGAGGCAGCTGGCGTGCGGCTCCCTGGCCAGGGCATGCAGATGGCAAACAAGGAAGAGGGGCAGGAGCGGCCTGTCCCGGGCAGAGTGTGCGCCCCCACCCCAGGAGCCCAGCTCTGAGGGTCAGGGATGGAACCCAGGGAGGCACCGGCAGCCGACAGTCCAGCCCCCCAGGGGAGACGCCCCCAACAGCCTCACCCTGGGAGTGCAGCGGGTGGCTGGGACTTGTTCAGGGCGGAGGGCGGAGGGCGGGCGGAGGCAGAGCCCGGCCCGGGCTGACAGCTGACTGCACCGAGAGGTGGGGCAGGCTGACGGGCAGCTGCTCCCCAAAGCCCAAGTTGGCTCTCCCTGCCGAGTGCAGGCAGAGGACCGTGTGCCACCGGCTCGGGCCGACCACAGTGAGCCTGGTGGGCAGGAGCGGCCACGCTGTCACTCGGGTTGGAGCCATGGAGGAGCGTGGGGGAGAAGTTTCCACTGTGGCGCCTGCCTTGGGACTATCACACCGTGACCTGACCATCTGTTGTTTTAAAATATCCCTCACGCTAAGCGACGAGAACTTGGGGTACATTTGTTAGAGCAGCACTCACGATGCCCCTGATACATTGGAAGCAAACCAAAAACTGCCCGAAGGGTGGGGCCGGTGCCACCTGCAGAGCCGGCACCCCACCTGGGCACAGTCCATGTCCCGGCTGCTCCACTTCCAATCCAGCTCTCTGCTGTGGCCTGGGAAAGCAGTAGAAGATGGCGCAGGTCCTTGGGCCCCTGCACCCTTGTGGGAGACCTGGAAGAAGCTCCTGGCTCCTGGCTTTGGCCTGGCCCAGCTCTGGCTGTTGCAGCCATTTGGGGGGTGGGCCTGCAGATGGAAGATCTGTCTCTGTCTCCCCCTCTCTGTTAACTCTTTCAAATAAACCTTAAAAAACAAAAAGGAACCTGCTGAGGGGTTACAGAGAGAGAGGTCTTCCATCCACTGGTTCACTCCCCAAATGGCCACAACTGTTGGAGCTGGGCCTGATCCGAAGCCAGTAGCTTCCTCCAGGTCTCCCATGCGGTGCAGGGGCCCAAGCAATTGGGCATCTTCTACTGCTTTCCCAGGCCCTAGCAGAGAGCTGGATCAGAAGAGGAGCAGGGGCTGGCGCTGTGGTATAGCGGGTGAAGCCGCCGCCTGCAGTGCCAGCATCCCATACTGGTACCGGTTCAAGTCCTGGCTGCTCCACTTGCGATCCAGCTCTCTGCTGTGGCCTGGGAAAGCAGTGGAAGATGACCCAAGTCCTTGGGCCCCTGCACCCACGTGGGAGACCCGGAAGAAGCTCCTGGCTTCAGATCGGCTCAGCTCCAGCCCTTGCACTAATTGGGGAGTAAACCAGAGGATGGAGGTCCTCTCTCTCTCTCTCTCTCTCTCTGACTTTCAAATAAATAAATAAATCTTAAGAAAAGGAGGGGGAGAAAAGAAGAGGTGAAACCATTTTCTGGCTGTCTCGCTTTGGAACAACAGAAGAGTGGGATATTGAATCTTGGGGGGCATCTCAGCCCACAGGTGCTGGGGTTTACAGCCTACAACACAGAACGCACCGGCTGGCACCCACGAGCCACAGCTGCGCACCTCACCAGCCAGCTCAGTAAATCAGAACGCGGGCCCCGGGAGCACCTCTGGGCGCCGAGTCTCCCTGGCGCTCCTGTGAACGTGCGGGGAGGCAGGAAGCAGGAGGGTGTCCCGGGCAGGACATCGCTGGGAAGGGTGGGATTCCCGTAACAGCGCGAGGACTTTCCACGCTCCTGCTGCTTCGTCGCCTCTTAGGAAGAGCCGCCTGGGCCGGAAAGTCCCTGGCATCGCTCGGCGTGCCGGCAACCGTGCACAAGCCCAAGCCGGCTCTCAACCCCAGCAAAGCCTCAGCTAGGAACAAGCGCTTGGATGCCCACAAAAAAGTATCAGGATACAGGGAACAGAACCTCCCCTGGACGCTGGCCGGAGAGACCACGCGTCACCTGCCCAGGAAGTAGCCCCACGTGACCACAGCCTTCTCCCTGGCAACAAGGCAGCGAGCGTGGCCACTGCTGAAGGCCGCAGATCACCCTCATTCGCTGCCCCGCTTACACGGAAAGACACTTCCAGAAAAAGCCGGGACAGCTGCCCCCACACACCGTGGCTGGGGAGCTCCTAGAAGGGGCCGGTGCTGCCGCCTGGGACGCCAGTGCCCCACGCCGGAGCGCCGGCCCGCGTTCCAGCAGCCACACTTCCGAGCCAGCGTCCCACCACTGTGCCTGCAGTGGAGGGAGGCCCAGGCGCCTGGGGCCCTGCCACTCACGGGGAGACCTGGATGGAGAGTCGGCCTGGTCCGGCTCTGGCTGTTGCAGGTATTTGGGGACTGTCTCGCCCAGGGCCACATAAGGCCCACGAAATCCTGTGGTCCGGCCCTGCCAAGGCAACCGCAGGCAGGAGCGGGAAGTCACTAAATCTGTGGCAGGCTGATTTTTAAGCTGGTGATTGGTATGGCCCACGAGTGTGCTCATCAATACCCAAGTGGCCCTTGGCAGAAAAAAGGGCCTCCACCCCTGCAGGGGTGGAAGATCTCTGTCCCTCCCTGTCACTCTGCTTTCAAATAAATAAATGAATTCTTAAAAAAAGAAGAAAAGCAAAACAATAAGGAGCAAGCAGGAAGCAACAATGAGCCAAACAAAACACTCCCATCAACCAGTGCGGGGAGAGCGTAATTTGTTCAATTTGTTCACTAGGAAAATAGGTGTTTTTTTTTTTTTTTTTTTTTTAAGATTTGATTAGTTACTTGAGAGGTAGAGTTAGAGAGAGAGAGACAGAGAAGTCTTACATCTGGGCTGGTTCACTCCCCAAAAGGCCACAACGGCTGGAGCTGCTTCTATCCGAAGCCAGGAGCCAGGAGCTTCTTCCAGGTCTCCCATGGGGTGCAGGGGCCCAAGCACTTGGGCCATCTTCCACTGCTTTCCCAGGCCACAGCAGAGAGCTGGATTGGAAGTGCAGCAGCTGGGACTTCAACATATTTTCTCCTTTTGCTGGTCCCAAAAATATGTGCTTATTAAAAACAGGAAAATATGGGGGCCAGCACTGTAGTGTAGTGGGTTAAGACTCCACCTGGGGCGCCGGCATCCCACATGGGTGCTGGTTCATGTCCCGGCTGCTCCTCTTCCAATCCAGCTCTGCTGTGGCCTGGAAGGGCAGTAGAAGATGGGCCAAGTGCTTGGGCCCCCGCACCCGTGTAGGAGACCTGGAAGAAGCTCCTGGTTTTGCATCGGCCCAGCTCCAGCCTTTGTGGCCATTTGGGGAATGAACCAGCAGTTGGAAGATCTCTGTCTCTCCGTCTGTTAGTAACTCTACCTCTCAAATAAATAATAATAATAATAATAATAAAGAGTTATCCTTGTTACACACTACACATCCTTAGTCTATGCTCTCAAATCCAAGGCCTCTCGGGGAATCTTGGATTTTTGGACTGGGGGTGCCGGAGCGGTGAGGTCTAAGCAAGTATTCCAGAACCCCCGCAAACCCCGCATCTGAAACACTTCCGGTCCAGGCATTTCCGGTAGGAACACTCAACCTGCGGTTCACCGGAGGACCAGGCAGAGAGTGACGCCCACGGGCAGGGAGAGAGGCAGAGGGGGCACAGAGGGAGGGAGGGGTCAGCCGCAGCCCACTTACAAACTGCCCTTCGTCGATGCCTATGACGGCCACGGCCAGGGCCTCCTGAGCCACGTCCCGCAGCAGGCAGGCCGGCAGCGCGTCCATGGTGTTCCTGGGAAGACAAGGTTGGCGGGGGAGCAAGGTGAGGGGGGGACCAGAACGCCGGGGCCAGGGAACAGCCACTGTCCCTGCCGCCCTCCACCTGCCGCGCTGCCCAGATGGCTGATGGGAAGGAATCCAGGGCAAACCAAGGGTCTCGCATCTTCCCCTGGACTGGGCACCTCTCAGTCCCGGCTGCTCCACCCCGATGCAGCTCCCTGCTAATGCGCCTGGGAAGCTCTGACTAATGGCTCGGTCCTGGCCCAGCCGTAACCATTGCAGCCATCTGGGGAGTGAACCAGTGCCTGGAAGATCTCTGCTCTACCTTTCAATATACAAATATTTTTAACGTGACCGTGGTGTAGTGGGTTAAGCTGCCTTCTGATGCCAGCATCCCACGTGGGCACGGGTTCGGATCCCGGCGGCTCCACTTTCAATCCAACTCTCTGCTAAGGCTCCTGGGAAAGCAGCAGAAGATGGCCCAAGTGCTTGGGCCCCTGCACCCATGTGAGACCAGGATGAGGCCCCTGGTTGCAGCCTGGCGCGGCCCAGCCACTGTGGCCATTGAAGGAGTGAACCAGAGTATGGAAGCTCCCTCTGTAACTCTGCCTTTCAAATAAATCAACGTATCTTTACTTCCAACCCAGCTCTCTGCTAATGGCCTGGGACGGCACCGGAGGATGGCCCGAATCCTTGGGCCCCTGCACCTGTGTGGGAAACCCGGCAGTAGCTCCTGGCTTTGGCCTGACCCAGCTCCAGCCATCGCGGCCATTTGGGGAGGGAACCAGCCAATGGAGGATCTCTTTGTAACTCTGCCTTTCAAATCAATCAATCAATCTTCAAAAAATAAATAAATAAAGCTATTAAGTGCAAGCCATCTCACTTGATGCTTTGGACTTTAAGTTAGCAATGTCTAGTATGAGGGAGTCTTTAAAAAGTTCATGGAAAATACATATTCTGAAACACGGATTTCAGAAACTTTTTGCACCAAAAGAAATGTATCTTTTCATTCAACTTTTCCACGAGCTTTCTGAAATGCCCTCGTGTGAAGCTGGCGCAGACCCCAGAGCGCCCCCACCCCACCCCACGCAGCAGGCGGAGGAAGCCAAGGCCGTCGCGGGGCAGTGCCAGGCTCACAGCACCTAAGCCCGGTCTGGACTCCTCGGTCTGCAAATCTCCGCGGTCATAAAATACAACGTGAAGAGGCGCCCAGAGCGGGAGACTGGACCGAGCCTGAGAATCCAGGAGCCCCACCCGGCGGGGACCCCAAGAGCAGAGAGCTTCCTCCACGTGGCAGCCGCTGCAGGGGGTCGAAGGGCTTCGCGGAGGTCAGATGAGAGGGGCCAGCGTGGGCCAGCGTGGACCTGCTGTCGCCGCAGTCTGGAGCCGCGAGGTGTGCGCGCGGATGTTCTAGCGACTAAGTGACACCAGGGAGCCCGCCCCTTCCAGGGCCTTATCTGAAGGGGGACACCGCGGTCCCCACCCTTGCCTGCTGCTCTGAGCCGGCCTGCAGCGGGACAGGCAGCTTCTGGAAGGTTCCGCAGCCCCCAGCTGCCTATGAAAAGATGCCACACTGGGCCGATCCCGCTCCGTTTCCGTCGGCCATCACCCCCGCCTGGGTCGGGACTCGAACGTTTCTCTGCCAGGCAGGCGGCCGAGACGCGGCTCAGGGGCCTGGGTTCGAGTCCCAGCTCCCCACTGATGGCTCAAGGACTAGAGTGGCAACCGCTGAGGTGTCGGGAGAGGCTCTCTCCGCCTTTCAAATAAGTCAATAAAACGAAAGGAAAACCTCTTCCCAAACGCAGGGAACCCAGGGCGGGCAGCGCCCAAAGCTGTCAGTGATCTGACCCCGACCCAGCACAGCCAGCCAGAACTGCACCTGCAGGCCGCCCAGAGCTGGTGCCACTGGGCCGGCACGCTGGGCGTTCGGGGTCGCTGACCCCCCTCCACCCGACAAGTACAGGCGCCTGCAGCCGTTGTCACGTGGATTCCAAGGGCTGGAGCCGCCCCACGCCCACCTTGCGCGGCTGGGTCCCCTCGCGGGCATCGGCTCTGTCACCCTAAGGGGTTTCCGCAGGACGGCCCGAGCGGGCAGCGACTGACCGGTCATGCGTGCAGAAGCTGTGGCTGTAGCGGACGTCCTTGGCGTACTTGATGACCAGGCACTTGTACTGAGCGATCTGGAAGCGGCGGACCCGTCTCATGAGCTCGGTGCTGCGAGAGCAGAGAGGGCCGGCTGAGCCAGCACACAGGCCGGCCCCGGCCCCCAGGCCGGCCCCGGCGGCCGGCCCCGGCCCCCAGGCCGGCCCCCGGCCCCCTGCCCTCTGTCCCCGGCCCACGGCCCCCGCCCCCGGCCCCAGCCCACGGCTCCCGGCCCCCCGCCCCCGGCCCCCACCCCGACCCCCGCCCAGCCCCAGCCCCGGCCCCGGCCCACGGCCCACAGCCCACGCCCCGGCCCCCGCCCCACGCCCCCGGCCCCGGCCCCCGGCGCCCTCTGCTGGTGCAGCCAGCCCAAGCACCGCCCAGGGGTCAAGGCGGGTGCAGAGAGAACCGGGGCGCCTGCCTGCGGGCCGCACCCCTCCGGAGGGCGGGAGGCGAGGAGCACCTGCCCAGGGCGGGGAGGGCGAGCGTGTTCCCAAGGAACCTGCTCCCGGGGTCGCGGGCTGCAGGGGTGCCCGGGGGTCCCAGGGGAACCTGGGCGGGCGGGGGAGCTGGGGAGGGGCCCAGCTCCAGGAGCTTGACAGGAGGGTCCCGGCAGTCAGGCCGGAGAGGGTCTCCGGGGAGGAGGGGCTCACCGCGCCCCGGGGCCATTACCTTTTCCCTGAGAACATGGGCCCGAGGATCACCTAGGAGAGAGAGCGAGGTCACTCGGCGGGCCCCGGCCGCCGCCCCGGCCCCCGCCCCGGCCCCCGCAGGCCCGCGCTCCGCACCTGGATCTGTCCCCGGGTCTTGCTGGGGGAGCTGGGCAGCACGGTGGGCAAGTTGATGCAGCTCATGGCGCGGCCTGGAAGCTCGCAGCACCGAGACCCTTCTCAGCTGTACCCGGCAAGTTCCCGCCAGACCCGCGCCTCCCGCCTTTATTGGCGGCACTCTGGCCAATCGGGAGCCGGCGCCGGCGCCCCGCAGCCAATCAGCGTCCAGCAGGAGCGGCGGGAGATTCGACCGCGGCCCGCCCCCTCGCGGCGGTGATCCAGGCCGCGCCCTGGGACGCCACCCGGTGGTGGGCGCGGCTTCTTCGGGGGCGTGGCTGGGCGGAGCTTCCCGCCCCGCCCACCACCGGGCATAAAAGGGCGCGCACGCCCCGGGCCGGCGTTGCGCTCGTCATGGACGTCCCGGGGGCCCAGAGCGGGCGCGAGGCCGCGTGGAAGACGATGCCCCCCGAGGTAGGCGGGACTGGGAGCCCGGGGCCCGCGTAGACCAGCCTGATCCGCTTTTCTGTTTCCAGGCTCAGAGGTCGCGGAGGCCGGGAGCCGAGGGTGCGGGCCTCTGGGGAGTTTGTGCAACGCCTTAGGCGGAGGGGCGGGGCCCCGCCGGGTGCTGGGTTGGAAAGGCGCCCGGCGTCCTAGTCCTAGCTGGCCTCCTGGGGAGCTGATGGACGCGCTGGACCCCGCCCCGCCCCGCCCACCACGCGTGCACCTGCTGTGTTAGCGCGCAGGAGCCCTGAGCAACAGCGGGAAGGGGGTGTCCCGCAGGTGAGCGCCTCCCGGGTACAGCTCGGTTCTGGTGTGCGCCTGGTCCGGAGCCCGGCGCAACGAGAGAAGGAAGCAGCCCTGTGAGGTTGGCTGTGACACAGTGCCAGGGAGGACGGAGACGGTCACCCGGAAGCCTGCAGAATTGGGACTGGTGCCGGGGTGTACGACTGGGTTCAGCTGTGCCGGTTCGAGTCCCGGCTGCTCCACTTCCAATCCAGCTCCTGCTATGGCCTGGGAGAGCAGCGGAAGATGACCAGGTCCCTGCACCCACATGGGAGACCCGGAAGAAGCTCCTGGTTCTTGGCTTCCGCCTGGCCCAACCCTGGCTGTTGCGGCCATCTGGGGAGTGAACCAGGGGATGGAAGAGTCTCTCCCCACCCTGTAACTCTGCCTTTCTTTCCTTTTTTTTTTCTCTAAGATTTATTTATTTGAAAGACAGAGTTGCAGAGAGACAGAGGGGAAGAGAATCTTCCATCCCCTGGTTCACTCCCCAGATGGCCGCAATGGCCAGGGCTGGGCCAGGCGGGAGCCAGGAGCTCCATCCACGTAGTCTCCCACGTGGGTGCAGGGCCCCAAGCACTCTGCCATCTTCTGCTGCTTTCCCAGGCCATTAGCTGGGAGCTGGATCGGAAGTGCAGCAGCCGGGGCTGGAGCCCAGCTCCTTTGGGATGCCGGCTACGCCACAGCGCCGGCCCCACCCCACCCCTCTCTGGGCCGCAGCGTCCAGGTTTCCCATAATGGTGGCCCTGAGCCCTTCTCCAAAACCTGACTCTGCCTGATGCCGCCTGAGACCCGCAGCCTCCCAGCCCTCACCACCTTCCCAGGCAGCCCCTGCAGACGGAGCCGGGTGGGTTCCTCCTCGCCCCGGCCTCTGCCTCGGGCTGCGCCGTGCCCCTGCAGGTGGAATTAGCCATCTCCAGGGAGACCAGCTCCATGACACTGGCTCCGGGCCCAAGTACAGGGGAGCCTGGGCTCTGGGGGAGGGGCTCTCGGGCCAGCGATGGGGGTGCGCTCGGGGTTGGGGGCGGAGTCTTAGGCAGTTCACGTCTCTCCTGTAGGAGCTGGAGGACCAGTACTCACCCAGCAGATGGGTCGTCCGCCAGGGACCACAGGAGGCCTTGAGGACCTACGCACAGACAGGACTCCAGGGTACCACTGGGACCTCTGTGGCTGCCTCGTGTGGCCTTCGGCATGTGCTGCTGGTTCAGAATGCTGGGGGCGGGGAGGAGGGGCCCTCAGCCGAGCCCCCAGGGTGCCGATCCCCAAACATCTGGCTCCAGGTGCCCAAGACCCCCACAGCGGGCAGGCTGACAGAGGGGCTGTGCTGTAGGACTGGGATTCTGGAAAAGATGCCGCGGTCCCACCAGGTCCCACCTAGGCCACCCACTGGGCGCTGCCGGGGGTCCTGAGCTTTTGAGAACAGGTGACCCGTCTTCCTGCCGTGTGGTGGGTGCCATGCAGCCTGATTTTAGGCCTGACGTTGTTGATCTGCATGGCCCCGAGGAAGGCGGCAGCAGGTGCCCAGGGCCCCCTCGGCAGGTACTGGTGAGGGTCACGGCTAGCTCCAGTGCACTGGGCCTGCCCTCCCACATGCCCAGGGCCGGCGCTGTGGCGTGGTGGCTAAGCCTTCACCTGCAGCGCCAGCATCCCATATGGGCCCCGGTTCTAGTCCCGGCTGCTCCACTTCTGATCCAGCTCCCTGCTGTGGCCTGGGAAAGCAGTGGAAGATGGCCCAAGTGCTTGGGCCCCTGCACCTGTGTGGGAGACCCGGAAGAAGCTCCTGGCTTTGGTTCAGCCCGGCTCCGGCCATTAAGGCCATTTTGGGAGTGGGCCAGTGGATGGAAGACACTTCTCTCTCTCTCTCTCTCTCTCTCTCTGTCTCTCTCTCTATATATATATACACACACACACACACACAAACACACACACGTAACTGCCTCTCAAGTAAATAAATTTTTTTAAAGATTTATTATTTATTTATTTGAAAGCCAGAGTTACACAGAGAGAGGAGAAGCAGAGAGAGGTTTTCCATCCGCTGGTTCACTCCCCAGTTGGCCGCAACAGCTGGAGCTGCACCGATCCAAAGCCAGGAGCCAGAGGCTTCTTCCGGGTCTCCCACGCGGATGCAGTGCCCCAAGCACTTGGGCCATCTTCCACTGCTTTCCCAGGGAGCATTAGCAAGGAGCTGGACCAGAAGTGGAGCAACGGGGACTAGAACCAGCGCCCACATGGGATGCTGGTGCTTCAGGCTGGGGCGTTACCTGCTGCACCACAGCACTGGCCCTGTAAATCTTTAACTTAAAGCAAATAAAAGGCCAGAGAGAGGTGTGAGAACAGGCAGCCTCTCTGTCTCGCAGGAGTGGGGGCCGCGGCTGTGGGTGGGGAGCAGGGACGCCTCCTTCTCTTTCGGGAGATCAGGGCTTGGGAGCCCGAGTGGCTTCAGGTCATCGACGTCGGTCCGCGGCCTGGCCGGCCCCTGTGCTGGGCTGGGGCAGCCGCCCCCAGGACGTGGCCCCAGGCAAGCAGCAAGGCTGGGGCTGCGCCTCTGGGTTTCAGCAGGCAGCCTGCAGCCTTCCAGAGCTGTCTGAGCAGTGGCTCTCTAACCTGAGATCTGTCCTGGATCTAACCTGGATCTAACCTGAGATCCAGGGGCGTGGGGAGCCGTGTCCTCGGCTCTTCAGGTCCCTTCTGTGCCGGCTTTGCGCTGGTTGACTCTTTGTTTGCCCAGTAAATATTTGAGTATGTTGTAAAACACATGAGCTTGAAGGAAACCTGTGTTCTTAGATTTAAAAAGCTTTGTTAACATTTATTTTAATTTTATTTGAAAGATCTTTTGCCCACTGGTTCCCTCCCCACATGCCCGCAGTAGCCAGGGCTGGTCCAGGCCAAAGCCAAGAGCCTGGAACTTATCCAGTTCTCCCATGTGGATGGCAAGGACTCAAACCCACTGCTATGGACTTTCTCAGCACTAGTTTGATTTTAATTTGTATTTATTTATTTGAGAGGTAGAGTTACAGACAGAGGGAGAGACAGAGAGAGAGAGGGATTCCATCCACCTGTTCATTTCCCAAATGGACGCAACAGCCAGAGCTGGGCCACCGCTGAGCCAGACCACCAAAGCCAGGAGCCAGGAGCTTCCTCCAGGTCTCCCATGCAGGTGCAGGGCCCAAGGACCTGGGCATCTTCTGCTGCTTTCCCAGGCCACAGCAGAGAGCTGGGTTGGAGAAGGAGCTTCCGGGACTTGAGGCCAGAGCCCAGATGCGATGCTGGCACTGCAGGCGGCGGCTTCACCCGCTACGCCACAGCGCTGGCCCCTGAACCAGCATCTTAACTCCAGGTCAAACGCCCACCCCTGAAAATATTTTTTTAATATTACATCTTTTTTTTGTTTTAAAATATGTTTGTATTTTATTTGAAAGGCAGAGTTAGAGAGAGGAAGAAACAGAGACAGAGAGATCTTCCATCCACTAGCTCGCTCCCCAAATGGCCACAGTGGTCAGGGCAGGGCCAGGCGAAATCCAGGAGTCAGGAGCCTCATTCATGTCCCCCATGTGGGTGCAGGGGCCCAAGCACTTGGGCCATGATCTGGGAGCTGGGTCAGAAATGGAGCAGCCAGGGCTGGCACTGTGGTGTAGTGGAAAAAGCTGCCACCTACAGTGCCGGCATCCCATATGGGTGCTGATTTGAGTCCCGGCTGCTCCACTTGCGATCCAGCTCTCTGCTGTGGCCTGGGAAAGCAGTGGAAGATGCCCAAGTCCTTGGGCCCTGCACCCTCATGGGAGACCTGGAAGAAGCTCCTGGCTCTTGGCTTCCGATCAGCCCAACTCCAGCTGTTGCAGCCATTTGGGGAGTCAACCGGCAGATGGAAGACCCCCCCCCCCCCGTAACTCTGCCTCTCAAGTAAATAAATAAATCTCAAAAAGAAAAGAAACGGGTACTTAGCTCGCAGGGGAGATACCACAATCATGAAAAGAAATGGAGCAGCCGGGACTTGAACCGGCGCCCATATGGGATGTGAGCATTGCAGAGGCTTTACCTGCTACGCCATAGCGCTGGCCTCTCAAATAAATTTTAAAAAGTTATATGTGGGGCCGGCGCCGCGGCTCCACCTGGGGTGAGACACCACCCCAGACCACGCGGGGTCCCCTTCCCGCGATGCTCACAGCCAGAGGCCGCTCGCCCACCCAAGGGCGCTTTCAGGAAGCCGTGTCCACCTGGGCTGGCTAGGAGTAGCCGCCTGAGCCCATGCTGACCGGGACCCGTCTGCTTCCGAGACAGCCACCACGAGGGCCCGGGCCACCAGGAGGTGCCAGCTGCACGTCCCCTACGGAGACGGCGACGGGGAGAAGATGGACGTCTACTTTCCTGATGAGCAGTCTGAAGGTAAGCCGACGCGGGCGAGGGCCGGCCGCCAAGCCCTGCGGGAGCCCGGCCGGAGCCCGGCCCCGCTCACCGCCCCGCCTGTCCTCCAGCCTTGCCCTTCTTCCTGTTCTTCCACGGCGGGTACTGGCAGAGCGGCAGGTGCGTGGGGGGGCAGGGGGCAGGGGCGGCTCCTCCTTCCCCAGTGTGTGGGTCCCCCCGCGGCTGCTGTAGCAATGGACCTCGGCTTGGCGCCCTGAACACCGGAAGTGTGTTCTGGCCCCGTGCTGCCATGGTCAGGTAGCAGGGCTGGGAGGAGCCTTTCCTGTGTGTCAGCTCCTGGCGGCCGCAGGCACTGCTCGGCCAGGGCCCCATCGCCGCAGCCCCCGCCTCTGTCTTAGGATGACCCCGGCCGCTGCCCTCAGGAGCCGTTCTCATCCAGGCGGAGCGCCCCTCACCCTGCTTCCAGCTGCAAAGACCCCGTTCCCAGCCAAGGCCACAGTCGCGGGGCCTGGGGGTCAGGATGTGGACGTGGTGTTTTGGGGAACGCCATCCAGGGCCAAGCCAGAGTGGCCGACTGTCCTGGTTTGTCACAACTGCGGGGATTCCCAGGACGTGAGATTTCAGCACGAAATTAAAAAATAAATAAATAAAAGGCAGGGAGGTGGGGATGGAAGCAGAGTCCAGACGAGAGCTGGGGACCCTGTGTTTGAGAAGTAGAGTTGCGGGGAGAGAGAGAGACAGAGACAGAGAGAGACAGAGAGAGAGAGAGAGGTCAGTCTTCCAGCCGCTGGTCACTCCCCAGTTGGCCTCAACAGCCGGAGCTGTGCTGATCTGAAGCCAGGAGCCAGGAGCTTCTTCCAGGTCTCCCACGTGGGTGCAGGGGCCCAAGGACTTGGGTCATCTACTGCTCTCCCAGGCCACAGCAGAGAGCTGGATCACAAGTGGAGCAGCCGGGACTCAAACCCGCGCTCATATGGGATGCCAGCGCTGCAGACTGTAGCTTAACCTGCTGCGCCGCGGGCCCCCCCCCCCGCCCCCATCCCTGTTTTACAAGTTCCCACGCCGGCCTGTGATGCGGTGAGGACAGAGCTGCCCTTGGCCCTGTGCCACGTCCTGCTCTGCCTGGACAGGACACGGGGAAAGCAGCCTAGTGGCCACCAGTGGTCACGTCTCTGTCCATGTCTCTCTGCAGTAAAGATGAGTCGGCCTTCATGGCTAGCGCGCTGACGGCAAAGGGAGTGGCCGTGGCAGTAGTGGCTTATGACATTGCTCCCAAAGGTACCGTGTCCCTGCTGCAGGGTTGGGGCCAGGGGGCCTTGGAGGGGCCGAGCACCCCGGGGACCCTGGCCTTGGAGGGGCCGAGCACCCGGGGACACTGGCCTTTCTGAAGGGGGCAGAGCATCCCGGGGACCCTGGCCTTGGGGGGGTCGAGCACCCCGGGGACCCTGGCCTTGGAGGGGCCGAGCACCCAGGGGACACTGACCCAGCTGGTGCTCTCTGCAGGAAACCTGGACCAGATGGTCGGCCAAGTGGCCCGCAGCGTCGTGTTTGTCCAGAAGCAGTATCCTTGCAACCAGTGGGTGTCACTGCAGGGGTTCTGGGGACGGGGCTGGGCGGGAGGGCGGGAGGGCAGTGGCCCGGGTCGGCCCCGTGGAGGCGGCCAGTGCAGCAGCAGGCAGAGCTGGGGCCTCTTGATCCTGGCCTGAGGCTTTGAGGAGACCGAATGCAGACCCGGCTCTCTGCTCTGACCCGTCTCAGGGGCCTGTACCTGTGTGGACACTCTGCTGGGGCCCATCTGGCCGCCATGATGCTCCTGACCGACTGGGCCCAGCTCGGAGCGGCGCCCAACCTCAGAGGTGCCGTGGGGACCGGCCTGGCTGGCAGGGGCTGAGAGTGGCCTGACCTGGAGGGCCCCAGCCCCGTGAGCAGGCCCCTCCTTGCCTCCTCCCTGCACCCCCGGCCCACAGCCCTGGCCCTGCCCTTCTGGGCTGGAGGGTAGGCGGGGCCTGTCTTCTTCTCTCTGGCGCTGGCCCTGTGACTGCTCCTCCTTCCACAGGCTTTTTCCTCCTGAGTGGGGTCTACGACCTGGAGCCCCTTGTGCACACCTCGCAGAACGCCCCTCTCCTCATGACCCCGTGAGTCGCTCACCCCCCAGGTCTCCCCCACCACCTGTATCCAGACTCTTGTCTGTGCTGACCTGTCCCCTGCCAGGCCTCCCCCACCACCTGCAGCCTGGCTCCTCTGTCCTGACCAATCCTCCCCCAGGTCTCCCCCACCACCTGCAGCCTGGCTCCTCTGTCCTGACCAATCCTCCCCCAGGTCTCCCCCACCACCTGCAACCTGGCTCCTCTCTGCCCTGCCCTGTCCTACCCCCCCAGTCTCCCCCACCACCTGCAGCCTGGATCCTCTCTGTCCTGACCTGTCCCCCCCCCAGGTCTCCCCTACCGCGTGCAGCCTGGCTCCTCTCTGTGCTGACCTGTCCCCCCCAGGTCTCCCCTACCGCGTGCAGCCTGGCTCCTCTCTGTGCTGACCTGTCCCCCCCAGGTCTCCCCTACCGCGTGCAGCCTGGCTCCTCTCTGCCCTGCCCTGTCCCCCTCCCAGATCTGCCCCGCCCACCCCCAGATGCCCCCAGCCAGCCTGCAAGCTTGCGCCAGGCTCCTCTCTGCTGACCCCGCCGCCCCCCCCCCCCCCCCCCCCCCCGCCCAGGGAGGATGTGCAGAGGAACAGCCCGCAGCGGCAGCTGGAGGCGGCCCGGGCACAGCCTGCAGACCCAGCCTGCCCCGTGCTGGTGATCGTGGGCCAGCATGACTCCCCCGAATTCCACCGGCAGTCCAGGGAGTTTTATCAGGTACTCCCGGGACCCACCCGGTCCGTGGGCAGGAGCCGTGTGATCTTCTCGTTAGCTTCTCTCTGTCACCCACCTGGACCCCACACCAGTTCCCCAACAAATTCTCAGCAAGCACCCGACAGGCGCAGGTGCTGTGGAGGGCACCCGGCCCTCCTGTGGCCACACGCGCCCTCTGCCCTCTCCCCGCCCAGACGCTGCGCCGGGGAGGGTGGACAGCCTCGCTGGAGGAGCTCCGTGACGTGGACCACTTTGAAATCGTGGAGAATCTGACCCAGGAGGAGGACGCACTCACCCAGGTGGGGTCTCGCCCTCCTGCTGCCCTGCAGCCCCTTGGCAGTGGGCGGTGGGGGTCCTCGGGGACATGGAGAGGAGATGGGCGGGTTGCAGAAAGGGGTCTTGAGAATGAAGCAACATGGGGTTGTTCCTTGGTGCCAGAGCGAGGGGGAGGGAGGGAGAGGGAGAGAGGGAGGGAGAGGGAAGGAGGGAGGGAGAGGGAGGGGGAGGGAGGGAGGGAGGGAGGGAGAGAGAAAGAGAGGGAGGGAGGGAGAGAGAGGGAGGGAGGGAGGAAAAGAGAGAGCGAGAGAGAGAGAGAGAGCAAGCGCCACACCAGGCCTTCTCTTCCGGCTGCAGATTATTTTGAAGACAATATTCCGACACTGAACCCGGCCCACGTGCACCCTGACTGCTGAAGCCCTTCCGGGCCCCCCACGGCCTGGGCTCGTGTGCCTGCCCCCACGAGGGCCACTCTTGTCCCCGCCGTGGACCCTGGCGAATCTCGCTCTGCCTTTCGCCAGCCTGGACGGAGCTCCAGGGAAGGTCAGCTCGGTCAGTGCTGTGAGGGGCCCAGAGCTGCCTCTGGGCCGGGCCGGGCCTCTCTACTTGCTGATGGGGCCGACAGGCAGGCTCCCCCCACCCCGCCCCGGCCCTGCTGCTTTGGTGTGCCCGCTGAGAGTCACGAGTTCAGTGGGGTCCCTTGGGCCAGCGCCCAGGAGAACAGAACCAGGAGGTCATGAGGGAGCCTCCTGCACACGTGCCTACCGTGAGAACGGCACGGAGACGTTGGCGAGTTTTTTAAAAATTTAAATTAAGGGCCAGCGCCATGGCACAGAAGGGTAAACTCGGCTTGCGAGGCTTGCCCCCGTATCAGTGCTGGTTCAAGGCCCGGTGCTGGGCTCTGACCCGGCTCCCTGCTGACGCGCCTGGGAAAGCAGCAGACGACAGCCCAAGTGCTTTGGCCACTGGCACTCGTGTGGGAGACCCGGATGAAGCTCCTGGCTCCTGGCCTCAGCCTGACCCAGCCCCAGCCGTTGTGACATTTGGAGAGTGAACCAGCAGATGGAAGACCTCTCTCTCTCTCTCTCTCTCTCTCTCTCTCTCTCTGCCATTAAAAAACTAAATCTTTTCAAAGTAAAAATTTAAGAAAAATAGAATAAGGGGCTGTGCCAGGGAACTCATGAGGACGGCAGTGATGTGGGACAAGCTGTGCGCTCGGGGACACCTGCCGGCCACGCGGTCTCCACCACCGACCAGACGCCAGCACCCGCCACGGCCCTGTCTCCAGCAGACCACCGCCTGCCGGCGCCCGTGGGGTCCACCCTCGCCCGAGGTCCCAGCGGCTGCCCCGGCCGCCCTGAGTGGACGGCCCGAGGAGAGTCGGTCAGTGTGCCAGTGCTTGTAGCTGAGACCACATCACGTTTTTATTTGAAGTTTTTAAGTTAACAGTTAACCCACAAGGTGAAGCTGCAAGCAATTCTAACTTACACCGATATAAACTAGAATTGAGTTTTAATAAAATTCTGATGGGCCGAGGTTGATGACTCTAAACGTGTTTCTCAATACTGAGGATCATGGTTATGTAAGAGTTGGGGGCCGAGTGTCATCTTACCTTCAACTTACAAACGGTCTAAAACCCATGTCCAAGGGGCCGGGCCGTAGCTCACTGGGTTAATCCTCCGCCTGTGGCACCGGCATCCCATATGGGCACCGGGTTCTAGTCTCAGTTCCCCCTCTTCCAGTCCAGCTCTCTGCTGTGGCCCGGGAGGGCAGTGGAGGGTGGCCCAAGTGCTTCGGCCCTGCACCTGCCTGGGAGACCAGGAGGAAGCACCTGGCTCCTGGCTTCAGATTGGCACAGCGCCGGCCGTGGTGGCCATTTTGGGGGGTGGACCAATGGAAGGAAGACCTTTCTGTCTCTCTCACTGTCTATAGCTCTACCTGTCAAATAAAAAAAGAATAATTAAAATCCCATGTCCACACATGCGTGTGCATGGTGTCTGTGCATATGTGTGCGTGTGTGTAGAGAATGAGGAACCAAAAACCCGGGTGAAGGCTGTGTGGGCTCTCCCTGGACTGCTCTTGACACTTTGAAGTGACATCACAAAGGACGGCATCGGCAGGCCCCTCGTCCCCAGCCGCTGAGGTCACGTCTGTCCATGCCGCCTCCACCGCTCAGCCTGGCACGCGCCCTCGGGACACCCTGCTCCGACACGGGCGCCCCTGGAGTCCTTTCAGACGAGACTCCTGTCAGTGGGCGGCAGGACTTGGCGCGGCTGGGAGAGGAGGAGCCGGCCCGGCCTTTCCCAGCTCTCCTGTGCCCTCCGACGGCAGCCCAGCCCCCAGCTCCCGTCCCAAATGGTGGCCCTGAAACACCAGCACGCGGCCCCCGACTCCTGTCGGGGTTCCTTTTCTGCAGGTGCTGTCCCACGGGAGTCTCGGTTTTGCTGGCGAAGCCTGGGCAGCCTCTGGCCTCTCTGGTGCCGTGGGGACCGGCCTGGCTGGCAGGGGCTGAGAGTGGCCTGACCTGGAGGGCCCCAGCCCCGTGAGCAGGCCCCTCCTTGCCTCCTCCCTGCACCCCCGGCCCACAATCCGAAGCTGCCCGCGGATTTGTCCCTGGTTCTGTGCCTGGGCTCTGTGTACCTTCCAGATCTGCACCTGTGTCTCTGGGTCCCACTTACTCATCAGGGGACGGGGTGGGGGCAGACGGAGCAATGAACAGAACCTTGGGCCGTGGGCCTGGCCCCACCACATAGGGGAAGGCAGGGTTGCAAACCTGCTGTGCGAAGCTGGTTACTGAATAAACCCGAGGGGAGGGCCGGCGCCGGGCCAGGCCTGGGCAAACACCCGTCTGACCCCCCCGCATGCGCCTTCCCGCAACCTGGAGGGACCAAGACGTCAACACAGAGGCCAAACCCAGGAGAAATCAGAAGTCATCAGTGGAGGTCTTTGATAAATCCTGGAGCAGAAACTGTTTAAGATGGACAAAAGCAAACCAAACCCAGTAGTAATAGGAAACAGACATCAAAGACATAAAAAAAAAAAAGATAATGATGCAGGTGTGGCGCTTGGGACTAAGCCACCACTGGTGACGCCCGCACCCTGTGCCGGGTGCCTCTTCCTTTCCTGGCCACTGTGTGATTTTTTTTTTTTTTTTTTGACAGGCAGAATGGACTGAGAGAGAGACAGAGAGAGGTCTTTCTCTTCCGTTGGTTCACACCCCAGTGGCCGCTGTGGCCGGCGCTATGCCGATCTGAAACCAGGAGCCAGGTGCCTCTCCTGGTCTCCCATGGGGTGCAGGGCCCAAGCACTAGGGCCATCCTCCACTGCACTCCCAGGCCACAGCAGAGAGCTGGCCTGGAAGAGGAGCGACCGGGACAGAATCCGGCGCCCCAACCGGGACTAGAACCTGGTGTGCCGGCGCTGCAGGTGGAGGATTAGCCTAGTGAGCCGTGGCGCCAGCCCACTGTGTGATTCTGATCCGGCCCCCTGCTAAGGTGCCTGCGAGGGAGCAGATGACGGCCACCGCTGCAGGAGACCCACATGAAGCTCCTGGACCCTGGCTCAGCCTGGCCCAGCCCTGGTTGTTGTGGGCATTTGGGGAGTGAACCAGCGGATGGGAGATTCTCTCTTTCTCCCTCTCGCTGTTACTCTGCCTTTTAAATAAGTATATAAATATATAAAAGTGATAAATAAGTATATAAATATATAAAAGTGATACATATGGCTGCAAACATTTTTTAAACTTTTGCAAGAAAAAAACCTAGAGCCAGAGTGGAAAGACGGAGCTCAGGGGGCGGGGACGGGAGTTGCTCTTGGTCCCTGACTTGTGCACTGCAGTGCTTGCCAGCGACCCCAGGGCAGGGGGCAAAGGGCGCCAGGAAGAGGCAGCTCCATGGGCCAGTGACCTCGGCGAGGGCCCCGCCCCCTGGGAATTGAGAGTGGGCAGCGGCACCTGCTGTCTCAGGGCAAAGGTCACAAGAGGTGCCGTCGCACAGCATGCTGGGAAAGCGCCCTGGACCTTTTCGGGGGGCCAGGGGGCACTTTCGGCCCCGAGACCTCCACGGCCTCACCCCCACCCCCACCCCGCCGGCTGGGTCTCTTCTCGCTCCTCTCTCCTTTTCTCTCACAACTCTTGCAAAACAACTCAGAGTTCTCTCGTGTTAAATTAAGCTGAGAAACAGATGCGGGTGGCCAGCGACCTATCCTGCTGGTGAGGAAACTGGCAGAAAGGAACAAGCCCCCCTTCCTGCCTCGCCTATCAGGTTTAGATGTTAGGAAGCTGGCACGTGCCCCCCGCCCCCCGAGGGCCAGGCATTTGGATCAGCGGTTACACCCACGTCCCACACGCGAGAGCCTGGCTGGAGTCCACCTGGGGGCAGCAGGTGACGGCTCAGATACCTGGGCCCTTGCCTTCCACGTGGGACACCCAGACGGACGTCCTGGCTCCTGGCGTCGGCCTGGCCCAGACAAAAGGGGGTTCAGGCTGGGCCTGAGTTGCTTTCATAGTGTTGGGGAAGCAGGAAGTGAACCCCTGTGGTACCACGGCCCCAGGTCAGCACCGGAGACGCTGGCCAGAGGAGGGATCTCAGCTCAGACCCAAGGCCTTGGTGGCCCCAGTCACACAGGCACCGCCGCTGGGTGTTTTCTCATTGGCTGGTAAACAGCACTGCTCCAGGCCACCGCCGAAGCCCCCAGCCCGGCTGCCTGGCCCTCGTCCCCCCCCAGCCCGGCTGCCTGGCCCTCGTCCCAGAGCCCTGCACCTCCCTTGACCCGCAAGGCGGGCCTACCCCATCCCAGGGGACCATGGCCCAGGCCGAAGCCACGACACTTTGTGAGGCCGTCCAGGACTCCTCCTGGGGCTGGCGCCGCTTGCTCGGCCTGCTGCTCCCAGGGTGGCGCCGTCGCAGACAGGCTGCCGCCCCCCGGGAGCCGTGACCGGGCCTGCCCACCGGCGCCCCTGTGCTGTCCGCGTGCCCCACTCCAGCCCTCCTTGAATGACACCCAGGCTGTGCCGGTCCCAGGTCGGCAGGCGCAGCAGGGTGTGGTCTCGGGGATCCCATCCAAGTCCCCGACCACACTTCTGCCTTCCCTCCGTGGTCGTCACCCCACGGGAAATCCCTACTGTGCGGGGGCGGGGCGCTGCTTCACGGGTCTGAGTGATTCAGGTCCCGAGACTCGGACACGGACGGGAGAGCAGGCCTCAGAGGGGCCCAGAGCTCCCGCTGGCGTTGGGTGGGGAACTCACACCCTGCCCACCACGCCGGGATCCGGGCGTCACCTGTACACAAGCCTCGTTTATTTATTTATTTTTTTTTTTTGACAGGCAGAGTGGAGAGTGAGAGAGAGAGAGAGAGAGAGAGAAAAAGGTGTTCCTTTTGCTGTTGGTTCACCCTCCAATGGCCGGCGCACCGCGCTGATCCGAAGGCAGGAGCCAGGTACTTCTCCTGGTCTCCCATGGGGTGCAGGGCCCAAGCACCTGGGCCATCCTCCACTGCACTCCCGGGCCACAGCAGAGAGCTGGTCTGGAAGAGGGGCAACCGGGACAGAATCCGGCGCCACGACCGGGACTAGAACCCGGTGTGCTGGCGCCACAGGTGGAGGATCAGCCTAGTGAGCCGCGGCGCCGGCCACAAGCCTCATTTTAAAAATGGTTTGTTTGAAAGGCAGAGTTACAGAGAGAGCGGGAGACAGCGAGGGATCGTCCATCCGCGGGTTCACTCCCAGGTGGCCAGACCAGGCCAGAGCCAGGAGCACAGCTCCCCCGAGCGCCCCCCAGGACCGGGCACCCGGGCCGGGCCAGGCCAGAGCCAGGAGCGCAGGTGCCCCGAGCGCCCCCCAGGACTGGGCACCGGGGCCGGGCCAGGCCAGAGCCAGGAGCGCAGGTGCCCCGAGCGCCCCCCAGGACCGGGCACCGGGGCCGGGCCACGCCTCGGAGACCCGCGCTGGGTGCTCGGACCGACCCCCTCCCAGGGGGCCACGACGGCGGAGGGAGCGGCTGTCCGAGTCCCGCGCGCCCTGTGCCTCGGGCCGGCCGCGGACGCAGGGAATCCAAGTCCTGGCGGGAACCGTCGGGGTCTGCGTTTCCCGGCAGCTTCCGACGCCGCTCCCCGGAGCAGGGCCCGGGACCTGCACCTGCACGGCGGCCCCAGGGAAACAAGCAGCGGGCCCTCGGCGAGGCCTGCACACACACGCGCCGGGCCGGCAACCTGCCCGCGGGCAGCCGTCGCCAGCCGAGCGCCCGGCCGCGGCTCCCAGCATGCCGCGCGCCGCCCCGTCCCGGAAGACTCGCGTTCCCAGAAGGCCCCGCGGGGGGGCGGGGCGCCCCGTCGTGCCCCGCGCGGCGCGCTCGGAGCTCCGGATTTGAATCTCGGGACCCGTCCGCGGCGGCGGCGGCGGCGGCGGCGATGGACGCCCGGTCGTTGCCCCGGGCTTGGCAGCTCTATCTCAAGGACCACCGCGTCTCGACGTTCAAGAACTGGCCCTTCCTGGAGGGCTGCGCCTGCACCCCGGAGCGGGTGAGCTCGCCGGGAGCCCGCCCGGTCCTCTGAGGCCCTCGCTGTCTGCGCGCTGGCCCCGGCTGGGCGCCCGGACCCCCGCCGACCCCTCTCGAGAGGCCGCCGGCCCGGGGCTCTGGGCCGCCTTGAGCGCAGCGCGGCCGGCGGCCCTGCCCAGGCGCGCGCGGACCCTCCGCGGGCTCTGCGGGCCCCCCGGGGCTGGGGGCGGCCGGCCCCGCACTGTCCCTGGGCTCCCGGCCCCGGCCCCGCTCTCGAGCTGCGCCGCCCTTCCTTGCAGATGGCCGAGGCCGGCTTCATCCACTGCCCCTCTGAGAACGAGCCCGACCTGGCCCAGTGTTTCTTCTGCTTCAAGGAGCTCGAGGGCTGGGAGCCGGACGACGAGCCCCTGTGAGTAGCCGCCCTGCGGGCCGGGGGCTCGGTGGGGAGGCCTCGGCCCGAGTTCCCAGGGCGCCCGCAGCCTGGTTTCGGGCAGGACCCGGTCCGGCCCGGCCCCGGAAGGGCTCCTTGCGCGCTGGGTGCCTTTCCTGGTGGGATTCTGTTTGTTTCTTAGTAACTGTTGCGGTTTCGTCCACGTGCTGCGCTGTCAGCGCCCCGGCCGCTCCAGTTCGCGGCCGCCCCAGGGCGCTCCTGGCTCTGCCTGGCCCAGCGCTGGCCGTCTGGGGAGTGACCAGCAGGCGGAGGACCAGCCGACCTGGCTCCCGCTTTGCTCTGCCTTTCAAATAAGTAAATTATAGGGGCGACGCTGTGGTGCAGCAGGGAAAACAGTGCTGGCACCGCCCGTGGCGCGGGTTCGGGCCCCTGCTGAGCCGGCTCCCTGCTGTGGCCTGGGGAAGCAGCGGAACATGGCCCAGGGGCTCGGGCCCTGCACCTGCGTGGGAGACCTGGATGGAGCTCCTGGCTGCCGGCTCCTGCCTGGCCGCTGTGGCCAACTGGGGAGTGAACCAGCCGATGGAAGACCTCTCCTCTCTCTGCCTCTCCTTCTCTGAAACTCTGGATTTTCAAATAAATTCTTTTCTAGGATTTTATTTTATTTATTTGAAAGAGTTACAGAGAGAGCTAGAGCCAGAGCCAGAGAGAGAGGTCTTCCATCCGCTGGTTCACTCCCCAATTGGCCGCAACAGCTGGAGCTGAGCCGATCCGAAGCCAGGAGCCAGGAGCTTCTTCCAGGTCTCCCACGTGGGTGCAGGGGCCCAAGCACCTGGGCATCTTCCACTGCCCTCCCAGGCCACATTAGAGAGCTGGTTTGCAAGTGGAGCAGCCGGGACTCGAACCCGGCGCCCATGTGGGATGCCAGCACATCCCGTCAGCAGGAGACTGTAGCGGGGTTCCCGGGGTGCCGTGAGCAGAAGTCGGGGCGCACTGGTGCAGGATCCGGGCACCCCAGGTGGCGCCTCGGCTGCACCCTGCGCGGTGGGCGGTGGGCGGGGCGGCGTGGGTCCCGCGTCTGCTGACGTGCGCTTGGCTTCCAGGGAGGAGCACAGGAAGCACTCGCCCGCGTGCGCGTTCCTGTCTGTCAAGAAGCAGCTGGAAGAACTGACGCTCAGCGAGTTTCTGAAGCTGGACAAAGAGCGAGCCAAGAACAAGATCGTACGTAGCCACGAGGAGGGACGTCTGGAGCGTCGGGCCTCCCTCGTCCGGAAGTCCGAGACGCCCCCCACGGCCCCACGCATGGACGGTGCCACCCCTGGCCCCTTGCTGGGCTGAGGGCACACGCAGACACAGTGTCCTGCAGTGTCACCTTCAGCCTGGGTGTGGAAGTCATACAGGACTCGGGGCGTGTCCCCAGGATGGCTCACTATGTACAAACAGGTCTCCCAAACCTGAATGCAGGGGGAGGGAGGGAGGGAGGGAGAGAGAGAGAGAGAGAGAGAGAGTCTTCCATCCTCTGTTCACTCCCTAGACGGCTGCAATGGCCGGAGCTGTGCCGATCAGGAGCCAGGAGCTTCTTCCCTGTCTCTCCCATGTGGGTGCAGGGTCCCAAGGACTTGGGCCATCTTCTACTGCTTTCCCAGGCCACAGCAGAGAGCTGGATGGGAAGTGGAGCAGCTGGGACTCAAAACAGCACCCGGATGGGATGCTGGCCCTGCAGGCGGCGGCTTTACCCTCTACGCCACAGCGCCAGGCCCCATCCCAACCATGTTGAATAAGGGTTTCCCGATCTGTACTAAACTACCCAGTCCCTTAGGAACACTAGAGGGACCCTGTTTTCCCCAGGAAGCGTTTAAAGTTCTTTTCTATTGATTATTTTCATTTCACTTGAAAGGCAGAGGCGAAGATTTGCTGCCTGGTGGCTCAGACCTCCATCCGGGGCTCCCGTGTGGGTGCAGGGGCGCCCTGCTGCCTGTAGGGGTCATATTACCAGGGGCCGGAATCAGAAACAGAACGTAACCCCGGCACTCTGATACGGGGTGTGAGATCTTAGCTGGTGCCCCGAGTCCTTCCCTCCAGCACCTGAGGAAGCTTTCTTATTGTTTGAAAAGCAGAGTGACAGGGAGATGGCAGGAGAGAGAGACAGAGAGTGCTGTTCATTCCTGAGTGACCGCCCCGCCTGGGCTGGGCCGAGCCAGGGCCAGGAGCCAGGAGCTCATCCAGGTCTCCCGGGTGGGTGGCAGGGACCCACACGGGAACCATCGCCTGCTGCGTCAGAGGCAGGGAGTGGAGCAGCACGGCTCAGGTTGGCGCTCCGATAGGGGTTAAGGTCGGCTGAACCCACGGCAACACAGCACCCACCCAAGGAAGCATTTTGAAGACCCCCTCGCGTGCGTGTGCGTGTGTGTGTGCGTGTGTGTGGGAGACAGAGGACAGAGAAGCATCTGCCCCGTCCACAGCGGTGTTCCTGTGAGTGATGTTGGGATCGTGCAGTCAGACAGCTGTGTCCCCTTAGCGCGTGTTCTGGGGTCCTTGGTTGTGGGGGACAGTGACAGTTAGGATTGTCTGCCTTCAGGGCCGCGCCGTATGCTCGCATGTGAGAGGGCAAGGACCCGGGGCATAGGGCGTGTGAGAGGGCGGGACCTGGAGCCCAGGGCATGTGAGAGGGCGGGACCTGGAGACCAGGGTGTATGAGAGGGCGGGGCCTGGAGCCCAGGGCGTGTCAGGGAGGAGGAGACAGGTGACCGCCCTGCAGGTGAGTGGTTTTTTTTTTAAGCTTATTTATTTGAAAGGCAGAGTTACATAGAGAAAAAGAGATCTTCATCTGTTGGCTCACTAGGGGCTGGGCCAGGCCTAAGCCAGGAACCAGGGCTCGGCTTCATCTGAGTCTCCCACGTGGGCGCAGGGTCCTTGCATTCAGGCCGTCGTCTGCTGTCCCAGGCACATTAGCAAGGAGCGGGATTGGAAGTGGAGCGGCCGGGGCTGGGCCCGGTGTGTGTATGGGATGCGGTGCTGCAGGTGGTGGCTTGGTCTGCCCCGCCACAGCGCTGACCCCAGAGGTAAGCTTTGTCCGGCCGCACAGGCCGCCGGGAGGGCAGAAGGTGACCCAGCCGTGAGTCCGCAGAGGCGGCTCCCAGGCAGCCTGGATGTGCAGAATTAAGGGCCAGAGATGAGGGCTCCCAGTGAAAGACGAACTTCACAAAACAAGGGATAACTGTCGTGTGGGCATGGACTTCATTTGAAGTTCAAGCCGAACGGGCATCCCCGCCTTATTTGCTAATTCCGGCAGCCCAGGATAAACATTGGCGGGTTTAGTATCGTGCAGACAGCACTGGGGGCGTCGGGGTGGCCTAGCCCCGTCCGCCAGGCACTGTGCGAGCTCCGGCTGACCCTGGCTCCCTTTCCGGGCGGCCCAGCCCTCGTGGTGGCCGAGGTCCTTTTCAGAGACCGGCGTGAAGGGATCCTGTCACGGCAGCATCCGAGTGCCGAGGGCCAGGGCTTTCTCGGGAAGGGAGGAACCCGTGGCCAGTAACGCGCCTTCACGGAGGTCTGGATGGCGGGCTGGGAGAGCCGTCCAGGTCAGGGGCTGCCAGGCCGACTCTGTCAGGTGCCCACACGGTCTCTGATTGAAAAGTATGAAAACCATTCCTGGCCCAGGGGCTGTACTTGGTGGACTGGCCCGCACCCTGGCTGGCTTAGGCCCCAGGAGCGGCCGTGGGGAATGGGCCCGGGCAGGGGCGGGCGTGGTGTGGAAGGCGGGCGGTGGAGCCTTTGCAGGACCGGTGAGCTTGCAGCCGAGGGAGGGGCCGGCGCCCGACAGCCCGCTTCCGAAATGCCCGCTCTTGGGCACCCTAGGACCGTGCAGCCGGGCTGTGGGGAGAGACGTGGGAAGGCCAGGGAGCCAGCTTTCAGGCGCTCTGTCCACCCAGCAGAGCCCCGCACTTCCCAATCAGCGTCGGGGGCCAGAACCAGACTGGAGGAGGCGTAGACACCCAGCCGGGGCGAAGGGGGCAGATTTGAAGAAACGCTTGGCTTCCATGTTGTAACTTCTGAACTGGAAGATCAGTGCAGATTCTCAGGACAAGGAGGGAAGCCCAGAGTGCTCGTCTGCTGGACCCCGATGCCTGCGGTGCCCGAGCTGAACGGGGCCAGAGCCCACTTGGGAACTCGAGCCAGGGCTTCCGCATGGCTGTCAGGAACCAAGTACTTGGGCTGGATCCCGGGCGGTCCAGTGTGGGACGTGGGCCTCCCGCACGGCGGCCCACCCGCCGTACCACACACCCATGCCTGAATGTAGGTGTCCGAGAGGACCAGGTGCCAAGGTGTTTGTTGTTGAACCCTCCACAGCAGTGTTGGCGTGAGCCGGGCACCACTGTGTGGAGCTTATTTATTTGAAAAGCAGAGTTATAAGGAGAGACAGATCAATGTTCCATCTGCTGGTTTGCTCTCCACAAGGTTGCAACAGCCAGGGCTGGGCCAGGCTGAAGTCAGGAGCCAGGAGCCTCCTCTGGGTCTTGCCTGTGGGTGCAGGGGCCCAAGGATTGGGCCATCTTCCACTGCTCTCCCAGGCCAGAGCAGAGAGCTGGATCGGAAGTGGAGCAGCCGGGACTTGACCTGGCGCCCGTAGGCACTGCAGGCGGTGGCTTCACCGGCCACGGCCACGGCGCCGGCCCCTTTCTCTGCTGCTTATTCAGCTGCTGCATCAACACCTCTGGCCTTTGAAACCACAAAATGAATGAGAACCAACCTGGCTTAGTCAGTGCGGGGTTAACAAGATATGAGAGTGAGAAACTCAGTTCCTGGTGAGAAGGAAGTGTGGTTCTGGAAAGAACGCAGTCGGAGCCCGGGGGCGGGCACGTCCGTGAGTTCATTTGGCTGTCAGGAGGGGCTTCTTCGCCTCTGCCTTTATTGGAAAATGTATTAAATGAAACTTTTGGGAGCTGCTGGGAGGCGAGCTTCATGACGGGTGACTCGAAGCAGACTGGGAAGGCGGGATCTCCAGCGAGGCCGCTCGCCCGAAGCAGCCGGCCAGCGCTTTGCTTTGAAAGATCTATTTTTATATCTGAAAGGCAGAGGACGGCGGCTGAGGGAGGGAGATCGTCCTGCTGATTCACTCCCGAGGTGGCTGCAGCAGCCAGGACTGGGCCAGGCAAAGCCAGCAGCCAGGAGCGCCAGCCGGGCTCGCACGGCTGGCAGGGCCCCAGGACTGGTTTCCCAGGCGCGTTAGCAGGAAGCTGACAGCCAGGGACTCGCACCTGTGCTCCCGTGGGGGACCGCGGCATTGCAGGCTTGGCGTGACCTGCTGTAGTGTTGCCAGGCCCTGCCAGAGCCCATCGCCCGGCTTGGGGGTGTCTGCAGGAGGACGTGGTCAGCCACGGGCGGGTGTGCAGGAGAGCGGCCGGTGCTGTGGCGCAGTGGGTTAAAGCCCCAGCCTGCAGTGCCGCATCCCCTCCCTATGGGCGCTGGTTTGAGACCCAGCTGCTGCACTTCTGATCCAGCTCTCTGCGGTGGCCTGGGAAAGCAGTGGAAGATGCCCAAGTCCTTGGGCCCCTGCACCCGCGTGGGAGACCTGGAGGAGGCTCCTGGCTTCAGATTGGCGCAGCTCTGGCCGTTGGCGGCCATCTGGGGAGTGAACCAGTGGGTGGAAGATCTCTGTCTCTCCTTTCTCTGTAACTCTGCCTTTCAAATAACATAAATAAATCTTTATTTAAAAAGAAAGAAGATGCAGGAGAATGTGTGTTGGGGGACAACTATGCCAGGCCCTTGTCTGATACAAGGACGAGATGCAGGCAGCGGGGGGGGGGGGGGGGGGGGGGGGGGGGGGGGCGCGGGGGGGGGCGGAGAGGCAGGCTCAGGCCTCTCCAGTGGGATCCTGGACCAAGGTGGAGTCTGGGAGGAGCCCAGGTGCAGTCTGGGAGCTCAGGTGCAGGCCTCTCCTGTGTGGTCCTAGGCCCAGGTGCAGTCTGGGAGGAGCCCACTGCCTTTTCCAGGTGGGTGAAGTTTGAGGCGGCCTTGTCCTTGCCCTTGCCCTTTCTGGAAGTCTCAGGTCTGTGATGCGAGTGGGGTGTCAGCCATGGTGATTTTATTACAGTGACCTTACAATTAGCTAAAGGTCGCTGTGGGGCTGTGACAGGCAGCTGTACGGGATATTTTTAGCCAAGGCAGATGCAGGCTGGGAAGGGGCGGGTGGGCGGTGGGCTTGGGCAGCACAGTCGGGGCTGCCGGGAGCTGCCGGGGACCTCGGCTCCCGCGCTGGCCGCCCCCCTGCCGACGTCCCTGGGCCAGGAAGGCCAGCCCACACCGGTTTCCTGCAGCTGTAGCTCCTCTGTGGCCCCCGAACCTGGGTGCCTTGTGGCCAGCTCTCCTGGAGCGGCCTGCACACGGCCGGAGAGCCGACTGACCGCCCACGCCCACGCCCTGCGTTCCTGCTGTTCCCACCCTGTCAAGCAGCGCTGCGATGGACTGGAGGCAGTTGTTTGAGAGGAAAGAAGTCCAGTAGGAATTATTCGTGGTCATCTGGGGCTGTGGCGCTGTCCTGTAGAGGGCGCTGTTGCCAGTGTTTCCTCTTGTGGGTTTATTTAAATGTTTAAGAATTATGATATGACAGAATTTAAGGTGCATAAACTATATATATTGAAAATAAACCCGGTCGGGGCGCCGGATTTTGTCCTGGTTGCTCCTCTTCCAGGCCAGCTCTCTGCTGTGGCCCAGGAGTGCAGTGGAGGATGGCCCAAGTGCTTGGGCCCTGCACCCCATGGGAGACCAGGAGGGAGCACCTGGCTCCTGCCTTCGGATTGGTGCAGCGCCGGCCGTAGTGGCCATTCGGGGGGTGAACCAACAGAAGGAAGACCTTTCTCTCTCTCTCTCTCTCACTTTCTAACTCTGCCTGTCAAAAAAAAGAGAGAGAAATTTTTTGAAACAGCCTTTGGGGCTGGTGTTGTGGCACAGTGGGTAAAGCTGCCGCCTGTAACATTGGCATCCCATATGGTAGTCAGAGTCCCAGTTGCTCCACTTCTGGATGTGGCCTGGGAAAAGGAGCAGAAGATGCCCAAGTCCTTGGGCTCCTGCACCCACGAGGGAGACCTGGAAGACGCTCCTGGCTTCAGTCCGGCCCAGCCCCGGCCGTTGCAGCCTTTTGGGGAGTGAACCAAGAGGTGGAAGATGTCTCTGTGCCTTCCCCGCCCCCTGTAATTGTGTCTTTCAGATAAATAACAATTTTTAAAAAGATTTATTTATTTATTTGAAAGTCAGAGTTACACACAGAAGGAGCGGCAGAGAGAGAGAGAGAGAGAGGTCTTCCATCCGCTGGTTCACTCCCCAGATGGCCGCAATGGCCAGAGCTGCACTGATCCAAAGCCAGGAGCTTCTTCCGGTCTCCCACGTGGGTGCAGGGCCCAAGCACCTGAGCCATCTTCCACTGCTTTCCCAGGCCACAGCAGAGCTGGATTAAAGTCTTTAAAATAAAAAGTGAGCCTCTCTGAGTTTTCATATCAGAAAACAACGAATGCAGTAGTGGTCTTCCGTTTGTTTTTTAATGTGGGAGACCTGGACGAAGCACCTGGCTCCTGGCTTCAGACTGAAGAAGAGAGTGAGATGGATGAGGGTTGGGCGGGGAGGCGGTCCCTGGTTTGCTAGTGACCGCCCTTTGCCCCTGTGGAGAGAACGTGGGGAGGAGGTCGGGACGTGGGCACTTACTGGCCGGGGCGGGATGTGGCCGTGAGCCCCACCCGAGTGGTCCTGACCCGAGCCGGCCTGGGGCGGGCGTGCGACCCGCCAGTTCTGTGTCGGCCGGGTCCCAGCTGCGGCAGACACTGGCAGTGGGTGAGGGAGCGGGAGCTTTGTCTGCCAAATCAGTAACAAATTCTGTTAAAAATGGAAAGACTGGAAGCGAGACTCAGACCGGAAGCGAAAGCGGGTTTCCATTTGAGGTGGAAGCCGGTTCTGACGAGGTCTAACTGGACGAGAGGACGTCTCGGACTTGGCCTGCAGGGGGTGCGCGCTGGGCAGACTGGCGGGAACGCGCCCGGCCTCGCTGCCCGCGGCTGTGGGGGGGACGTGGGCACACCCAGGGAGGCAGCACTGATAGAAGATTCTCTGTAACTCTGCTTTTCTAACGCATTGTTTCTTAAAGTAGTTGAGGCGCAGACCAGCAGCGGGAAGCTCTTTCTGCTCCCTTTCAAATGGATTAAGGAAAACAATTCCAGGGAAACTTGAGTCAGTGCTAGCCCGCCTGCGGGGGGTGGGGGGTGGGGGGTCTCCCAGCAGTGCCCGCCCCACCCTCTGCCGGGACTCAGCCGTCGGCTTTATTCCAGGCCAAGGAGACCAGCAGTAAGCAGAAGGAGTTCGAGGAGACCGCGAAGAAGGTGCGCTCCGCCATCGAGCAGCTGGCCGCGCTGCAGTGAGGCCGGCCCGGCCCGCGGGGTCGGCTTTCCCGGAAGTGGCGCCCGGGCCCTGTGCCGCGGCTGGTGCCGCCCACGCAGTGACTGCCGCTCTTCCTTCGCCGGTGTGAGCCCCGGGGCCGGGGCCAGGGACGAGGAGGGGGGAGGAGGGCCAGGGCCTGGGGCGGGGCCCGGGGGGGGGGGAGCCGCGGTGCCGCCCACCCTGCAGTGCTCCCAGTGAGCGTCCCCGCCCGTAACTCCCTTCTCACGCGGGCACTGAATAAACTCATCGAAAAAACGGCCTGGAAAACCCTCGTGGAAAAGGTTTTGTTTGTGTCGCGGTTTCTACGATCACAAGCGCAGCGTCTTGGCACAGGGCTGGGGGCCCGCGGCTGGGGCGGGGGGCTCGCAGGGGTCTCTCCGTCTCCCCGGCTGCTCCGCCACCTGCCGGGTGGCTTGGTTTGTGTTTGCTTTTTTGGTAGATTCATGATTCTGGGTGACGACGAGGGGGACGGGGGCAAAGAGTCCCCAGTCTTGCACAGGGTGGGTTTCTCTGAATTATCTCACAGCACAGCAGGGCTGCACCTACACACGCGCGTGAGGCCGTTCTGACCGCTGCAGGCGGCCTCGGGAGCCGAACCTTGCCTGTGGGTCGCCGCGCCAGGAGCCAGCCGGGGGGCAGGCACGCTGCTCCCGGAAGCAGCAGGGGCCCCGGGCCATCCGGGGTGGCCGTCCTGATTCACCGCGCGGCCTTGTGGGCAGAGGGCGCCGTGGTACCTCCGAGCCGGCCAGAGCGCGTCCCTTCACACGCGGCTGCCCGCCCTGCGCGGTGTCTTGGGGGCGGAAATCCGGCCCCAGGCTCCCCGCCGTGGCTGCTGGAGTGGCCGTGAGGGGCAGCGCAGCTCGGTGGGCCGAGGCGTGGGTGCTGCACTGCCTCCGGGCCCAGTGTTCTTGGTGTCTGAGCCAGTCCAGAACTCGGCTCTGCAGAGAAGCTGAGAAAAACTGCGTGCACGCTGGGAAACAACGCAGATCGCGCCTCTGTCAGTCCGTGCCCCCGGCCGGGCTGAGCAAAGCCGGCCCGCGGTCTGCCCGTCTCGGCACACGTGGTCCTCGGCCGGGGGCCGTCTCCTCCGGGCGAGAGTTATCCACAACCCCAGCCCCAGCGCCTCAAAGCCTCGCAGGCGGGCTTGCTGAGTGAGCGCGTGTCTGCGGGCAGCTGCCTCCCCTTGCACGTCCTCAGCCAGCGCTGGCTGTCGGGCTGGGGGGGGGGGGTCCTACAGGCCCGGCCAGCATCTCCGCCGTGTGCTCACAGGACGGCTGTGGTGACGGCACCTGCGTTGTTCGGCGCAGGAACACAGCATAAAGGCGAGTTCCGGGCTCCTGGCTCGGGGCCGGCCCAGCCCTGGCTGCTGCAGGGTGTGGGGAGTGAACCAGCGATGTAGTCACCCTGTCCCTGCCACTCTGCTCTGGCCGAATTCCTTTTGAAATACTGCTTCAATAGCTTTGCTAGGGTTGCTTTTACTTCTTCTTCTTTTTTTTTTTTTTTTTTGACAGGCAGAGTTAGAGACAGAGAGAAAGGTCTTCCTTCCGTTGGTTCACCCCCCAAATGGCTGCTACGGCCGGTGCACCGCGCTGATCCGAAGGCAGGAGCCAGGTGCTTCTCCTGGTCTCCCATGGGGTGCAGGGCCCAAGCACTTGGGCCTCCTCCACTGCCCTCCCGGGCCACAGCAGAGAGCTGGCCTGGAAGGGGAGTGACTGGGACTGGAACCCGGGGTGCCAGCGCCACAGATGGAGGATTAGCCAAGTGAGCCGCGGTGCCGGCCTGCTTTTACTTCTTGACTAAATTCCTCCAACCAATAGGGTCTTACAGAGAAGCTGTGCCCGAGAGGCCGGCCTGGCCACCTTTGGGGTGCAGCAGGTCAAGCCACTGCTGTGACGCTGGCATCCCACACGAGCGCTGGTCCTTGTCCCGGCTGCCTGACCCCGATCCAGCTCCCTGCTGTGGCCTGGGAAGGCAGTGGAAGATGGCCCAGGCCCCTGCACCCGCGTGGGAGACCTGGAGGAAGCTCCTGGCTCCTGGGTTTGGATCGGCCCAGCTCTGGCTGTTGTGGTCATTTGGAGAGTGAACCAGCGGGTGGAAGACCTCTCTCTCTCTCTCTCTCTCTCTCTCTCTCTCTCTCTCTCAGTGTCACTCTGCCTTTCAAATATTTTTGTGAAGAAGGAAAGTTGACAGGAAACAGCGAGCTCTCCCAGACGAGGGCCCTGGGTGGCCTGGAAGGCAGGGAGCTGCCTCCCAGAAGGGCACCGGGGGCTGCGGCCCGGCCTTGTCCGCCCTGAACCCGAGCCCACGACCGCTGCGCGCCCATCCCCCAACCACTGTCCGCCCCGGTGCAGCTGCGCGCCCATCCCCCAATCAGTCACTGTCGGGGCGCAGGGAGCTGGCATCCTGGGGGCTGCTCTCCCCGCCTCCTCCCCAGCACCTGGAGAAACTCCTCTACAGCACAGCCTCGCCCGGGCCCACTTGGGCCCTGCGCCCACCCACTCCTCCTCGGGACTGCAGACCCGGAGCCCAGGGCCAGCCTGCGGCCAGGGGGCACCCCCCTCACCCCGCCTCACCTGCGGCCCGGGGTGGGGGGTGGGATTCGTCCTTCCTTCCCGCCCGGAGCGGCTTGGAGACCCCATCAGTTTCCCAGCGAACCCGAGGGTATATGCTGCCCCGTTCCCCCGACCCTCAACCCCCTCCTCACTCCCCCCGGGGCGGGGCCCTTCCTCGCTGCTCTCCCGGCACCCCTCCACGGCGCCCCTCCCCCACCCGGAGCCCCGCCCCCGCCCTCAGGCTCCGCCCCCGACTCCCGCCGGGTCCGCGAAGCCAGCTCTCCGCCCCGCGCGCGCTCAGCCTCGGCCCGCGGATCCTCGGGGCTCCCGCTGCCTGCCGCCTGCGCCCCGCGACCCCTCGGCCGCATGGCCCCGCCGGGCGCGCTGCTCCTGGCCGCCGGCCTGGGTGCGCTGCTCAACTTCGCGCTGCTGGCCGCGGCGCTGGCCAGCGACCACTGGTACGTCCTGGAGGTGGCGGACGGCGGCGAGCGGCTCTCGTCGCACTCGGGGCTGTGGCGCGTCTGCGAAGGTAACGGCTGCCGCCCCAGGACCCCCGCACGGCCCCGGGACTCGCTCGGGGTCGGGCTGCCGAGGGGCTGGGGGCGCCGGCCCCGCGTGGCTCCCCGGGGCCCTCCGGAGCCCGGCCGTGCCGAGTGGGGGCCCTGTCCCTGCTCCCCCCAGGCCTGGACCCAAAGGGAGACGAGGGCGCTGGACGCCCGCCCCCGGGGGGAGCGGGGGCAGCTGTGAGCGCTGGGTCCTGGGGTTCATGTATGGTGCACATACATGGAACACACCACACACGTACGCACAGCATATGTGTACCACACATGCACACACACCGTATACATCATACATGGAACACACGTAGTGCACACACTGTGTACACACGGCATATACACATCAGACACATATATACCATGTACACCATACATACTACACACACATCTACCACACAGCACACACAACACACAGCACACACCTTATACAGCATACATACCCCCACAGACACACACACCACACACAGACACACCACACACAGACACACACACACACACACACACACACGGTGCTGCCGGCCTGGGAACCAGAGCCAGTGCCGGGGCAGAGGCTGCCAGGCCCAAGGCTGGGTGCTGGGCAGGGGCTTCCAGAGCCCCCCGACAGCCCCCTCAGCTCCCAGCAGAGCCCAGGGAAGTGCGTGTGCGTGAGCGTGAGCAGGTGTGAACCCAGTGTGAGCAGGTGTGAACAAAGCGTGAGGTGTGAACCCAGCGTGAGCAGGTGTGAACGAAGCGTGTGTGTGACGCTGGCTTCCGGGTGCAGCAGGGGAGGCCACGCTGTTTGTCCGTCCTCCTGACAGTGCCCAAAGCTCCCGGCACCTGGCGTGTGCACACGTGTGTGCGCATTCATGTGTGTGAGAGTGACACCCAGCTGAGGGGCCCCCGCCTGGGGCGTGTCTGGGGTGGGTGCCTCCATGAACACAGAGGCAGAGGCCTGGCCCCGGGCCCTGGGTGGGGAGGGCCTGAGGGGGCTGCGGGGGCCCCCGGTGCCCTGCCCCCTCTGCTCCCCAGGACAGAGCGGCTGCACCCCCCTGATGGACCCCTTCGCCAGCGAGGGCCTGGGCGTCCCCTCCTCCGTGCAGCAGCTCCTGGGTGAGTCCTCACGTCTGTGGCGGGGGGACCCGAGCCTTCCCCCCCATCTGCCCCGTGCCCTGCTGCGGGCTCTCGACCCGACTCCCAGCCTGCCCCTCGGCTGCCCGCCCGCTCCAAGCCGGCTGGACCTCCCGCGTGCCCCATAGACTCCTGGCTCCAGACTCCCAGCCTGCCCCTCGGCTGCCCGCCCGCTCCAAGCCGGCTGGACCTCTCGCGTGCCCCATAGACTCCTGGCTCCAGACTCCCAGCCTGCCCCTCGGCTGCCCACCCGCTCCAAGCCGTCCAGACCTCCCTGTGTGCCCCATAGACTCCTGGCTCCAGACTCCCAGCCTGCCCCTCGGCTGCCCGCCCGCTCCAAGCCGGCTGGACCTCCCGCGTGCCCCATAGACTCCTGGCTCCAGACTCCCAGCCTGCCCCTCGGCTGCCCGCCCGCTCCAAGCCGGCTGGACCTCCCGCGTGCCCCATAGACTCCTGGCTCCAGACTCCCAGCCTGCCCCTCGGCTGCCCGCCCGCTCCAAGCCGGCTGGACCTCTCGCGTGCCCCATAGACTCCTGGCTCCAGACTCCCAGCCTGCCCCTCGGCTGCCCGCCCGCTCCAAGCCGGCTGGACCTCTCGCGTGCCCCATAGACTCCTGGCTCCAGACTCCCAGCCTGCCCCTCGGCTGCCCGCCCGCTCCAAGCCGGCTGGACCTCCCGCGTGCCCCATAGACTCCTGGCTCCAGACTCCCAGCCTGCCCCTCGGCTCCCGCCCCCCCCAAGCTGGCTGGACCTCCCACGTGCCCCATAGACTCCCAGCTCCCCCTTTGGACTCTTCTTGCTGCCCCAGAGAGGCCCGGGGCTGGGCATGAGGAGGGTCTGGTGGTTACCATGGAGACAGACATCCGCTGGCCCCTGGGCTGAGCCGGTGGAGCGGTTGGCGTGCAGGCAGGTTCTCCCTGGGGGGCAGGTCCCAGCCCGGCCGGCACCTGCTCCCCCCCCCCCCACAGCGCTGCACCGGGCTGTCATGGTGATGCTGCCACTGAGCCTGATCCTCGCCGTGTGCGGCTGGGTGTGCGGCCTGCTCAGCTCCCTGGCCCGGAGCATCCCCCTGCTGCTCCTCACCGGCTGCTACTTCTTGCTGGGAAGTGAGTCTGGGGTCCCTGGGGGGCTTCGCTCTGGGCTGCAGGTCCTGGGAGTGGGGTGCTGGCCCTCCTGCTCCTCTCGGGGTTGGCACCGGACCTGCGCCCTGTGGGGCCCTCTTGGGGCAGGGGCGTCTGTGGGGAGTGCCGGGGCCAAGCTTCTCAGACCCGTGATCTCCAGGGTGACCCCCGACCTTCTCTGCTGGGGGTGGGGGGCCGGCTCCCCACCTGCTCCCTCATTTGCAGACTGCCCTGCAGGGAGGGGGTGGGCGGGCAGGGCTCCGGCTCAGCACGAGGAGGGTGGCGGAGCCCTGCGCACCCCGGCTGCACCTGTGCTGGCTGGTTCCACTGCTATGTTTGTGCAGCAGCTGGCCTGCACCCGGCGCTGGGCCCAGTACCGCACAGGCGCCCCCTGGTGGCCCTCGGAGGCCCGGAGAGGCCTGAGGATCTGCCCGGGTCAGGGAGGACCTTGCCCCGGGGCCCTGGATGCCCGAGGCTAGCAGCCAGCAGAGGTGGACAGGTAGCTTGCGGGGTCACCCCTTGGTCATCTGGGGCCAGGTCCGAGACGCTCTGGCTGCTCCCTCCCTCCTTGCCGGGGATGCTGGGTTCCTGGGGAGACCTTGCCCGCAGGGAGGAGCCGGGCGTGGGGAGGCAGCAGCCTGCTCAGGCCACGGGAGACCAACGCCCAAGTCCAGGTGTCCAGAGAGTGAAGCCACGAGCAATCCAAGTGTCAGACGTGACCCCGGGCCCTAAAACCCAGCTCCAAGGCCCCTGGGAAGCCTCCTCGGGGGACGACTGGGTTGGGTCTGTAAGCGGAGGTCTCAGGGAGGGGTGATGGGGAATGACGGTGCCCTCCCTGCCCCAGCAGGTGCCCGGTCCCAGGGCTGGGGGGACAAGAGGGACGGGGGCCTGCAGTGGGCCTGGTTTGATGAACATCCCGCCAGCCGGCCTTGGGCAGGGTCCCACCGGACACTGGTCGAAGGTGGAGGGAAGCAGAGGGGCCTGGGCGCCCTTCCCTGGGGAGCCTGCCGAGGTGGGGGCCTGATGAGGTGCACCGCAGGGGCAGGGCAGGAGAGACGCCTTCAGGAGCCCGCCCGAGGTGCCTGAGCCCGGGAGAGCCCATGGGGGCCCCTGCTCTGGCAGAGCGGCCGCCTCTGCTGTCTTGGAGAGGGGGAACCCAGGGCGGGGGTCAGGAGCTCGGCTGGCAGCCTGGCCCCCTGCTGAGCGACCTCCTCCTGGAAGCCCCGGTGGGGTGGCCAGCGCCTACCAGCCCCCATCCCCGTGTCTCCATCTCTCATCCTCCCCAAGACTGGACACAGGGCTTCTGCTGCCCCTGCCCAGCCTCACAAGGGTGACAGCTGGGCAGTATGGACCCTGGGGACCCAGGGAGAGCCCGACGTGGCCCTGGGGGTAGCCTGGCTCAGTGCCCTGGCCCGCTCCCGGGAGGTGCCCGTGGCATTCCCCACAGTTGCCTCCGTGGGCAGGTGTTGTTAGCCTGCGGCCGTGGGACGCGGCGGTCCTCCGGGCTGGCCGTCCTGAGCCCCCGGCAGGAGGCGACCCTGCAGCCCCAGACCACGGGTCACCATCCTCTGTGCAAGGCCAGCCATCCTTCCTGTGTTTAGAAACATTGTATTTATTGTTTTATTTATTGGCCAGGCAGAGAGAAAGAGACAGAGAGAGAACCCAGTGGCTGGGTTCACCCCCAAACGCCCACAACAGCCAGGGCTGGAAGTCAGCCCCGTCCCCCATGTGGGTGGCGGGGCCCCAAGGACTGGGCCGGCGCCTGCTGGAAGCTGGCACCGGAAGCAGAGGCGGCAGTTGCAGCCAGGCCCCTGGGGTGGGGTGCGGGCATTGCAGTGGCGTCTTGTCTCAACCTCTGCGCCAGCGTCTGCCCTGAGACATCCTTTGAGGACAGCTCTGATCATGCTAAGACGGAGGGGCAGGGGGCGCGGGGCCGAGAGCTTAGACGTGGGGGGCTCGCAGGGGGCCAGGGGGCCGAGAGCTTAGACGTGGGGGCTTGCAGGGGGCCGAGAGCTTAGACGTGGGGGGCTCACAGGGGGCCGAGAGCTTAGACGTGGGGGGTTCACAGGGGGCCGAGAGCTTAGACGTGGGGGCTCACAGGGGGCCGAGAGCTTAGACGTGGGGGCTCACAGGGGGCCGAGAGCTTAGACGTGGGGGCTCACAGGGGGCCGAGAGCTTAGACGTGGGGGCCACAGGGGGCCGAGAGCTTAGACGTGGGGGCTCACAGGGGGCCGAGAGCTTAGACATGGGGGGCTCACGGGGGGCCGAGAGCTTAGATGTGGGGGGCTCGCAGGGGGTGCGGGGCTGAGAGCTTAGACAGGGTAGGGGGCCTTGCTAGGTATCCCAGAGAGGCGGGAGGGCAAGGCACTGGCTCAGGTGCCTGGCCAGAGGGTGCCATGTCGGGGGAGAGGAGCCCGTGGGCTGGGGGCACAGGCGGAGCCAAGTTGCAAGGGGGCTTCGTGGGCCACGGTCTATGGGACTTGGGAACTGGATTGAAGCCCCCTAAACCGCAGCGTTACCCACCACTGGTGTGGGTTCCCCCCCGGGGGGCGAGGTGGTGCCTGGGAGGGGGTCCCGGCAGAGCGGTGGGCAGGCCCCCCACACCACATCTGCAAGACCCCCCCCCGGCCCCCTCTCTCCGCAGGTGCCCTGACCCTGGCAGGGCTCAGCACCTACGTCCACTACTCACACCTGGCGCTGGTGGAGACGGCGCGCCAGTACGGCCCGCAGCACGTGCAGGCCGTGCACATCAGCTTCGGCTGGTCCCTGGGCCTGGCCTGGGGCTCCTGCGCCTCGGAGATGCTGAGTGGCGCCCTCCTGCTGGCGGCCGCCCGGGCCGTCCGCCTGAGCCGGCTGCTGGCTGCGCCCCACGCCGTGGTCATCTGAGTCCCAGGCAGAGGGTGCTGGGGGGGCGGGGCTCGGTGTTTCCCAGGAGGCCCCATCGTCCATGAGTCCTGGTGGGAAGGCCCCAGGGGTGAGGAGGGGCTGGGGACAGGGCCAAGAGTCCAGGCCCTTGCTCACCTCCCACCCCAGGGTTCAACCTCCTCACAGTGGCCAGAAAAATTCGGAAGAGGAAGGCGGTGGCCGAGGCTGCGGCGATGCCTCCTTCCCGCCGGCTGGGCAGGCGCCCTCAGCTTTCGGGGGTGTGGTCAGTATGCTCCCCTCCCCATGGGTTGGGGGCCCAGAGCAGCGGAGTGGGCCACCTGGTGCCCCGAGGGCTGAGGACAGGGCTGAACCTGCAGGCCGGAGGGCAGCCCAGGGCCAGATGTCCCCTGTTGTCTCACAGGCGACAGGTGGACAAGGACAGGTCCTTGTCCTGCTGCAGATGCTGCCCTGCTGGCCCCTGGCCCTTGCTCTGCAGTGGCCGCCTGAACCAGCGCCGCGGGGTCGGGTGGGGCCGCCAGTCGCCTGCCTCCCCTGGGGTTGGCTGGAGCTTGGTGACCAGGCTGGGGAGGGGGGGTGCCGCTGGCAGGCCGGTGCTGGTCCCAGTGGTCGCGGGTGAGGCTTGGGGAACAGGGCCGGCCGGCACCCCACCTCCCGGTCATCTTGGGCCACGAGGACTGGGGCACCCCCCCTTCCGTGTAGGTGGACAGGCGGGCTGGCTGCAGAAGCCCGAACGGCCCCTCTTGGGTGCGACCCCAAGTCTCCGGGTGTGTGCTGCGTGAAGGTGAGGCCTCTCGGCCTGGTACTTCTGGGGTACAGACGGAAGCTCTGGGGGCAGCCGGGGCTGGCACCATGGAGGCGCGGCCCCTGAGGACACAGAGCCGGGGCCTCCCTTCCTGCTTGTGTCTCAACACCCGCTGTTCCCTGGGGCAGTGTGCCCGTTTGTCCTTGGAATAAAGCAGCTGTCTGTGTGCAGCGTGAGCCTGCCGTGTGGGTGCACGGGTGGGTGTGGGCGTGGGTGAGCCCGGGGACTGCGCGGGCGGGAGCCATCGTGGACACCGACTGAGGACGTGGCCCTCGCTGGTGTCCTCAGAGGACTCCCGCACCTGCCAGCTCCCAGCCCCCAGGTGACTGATGGCCTTTGCCTCACGGCGCTGCACCGAGAGGTAACGGATACCGTGCACGGTACCGGACGTGGAGCCACGGAGGTTCCAAGCTGCGGGCTTTCCTCCTCCAGGCGGGAGAGCCGTTCTGGGGGAGCCCCGGAGATGGATCCCCCAGGGCACAGATCTGGATCCTTCTAAGGGGGGGAGGGGGAGGGGAGGGTCCTCTGGCCCTCCCTCCCGCACTGCACACACACCATGCAGGATTCCACCACGTCTGTGTCTGTCCTTGTGGGGAGCAACCCGGACTGGACTGAGTTACTGGAATTAAGACTTATTCTATGCATCTGCTCTCCCACAATATGGCGCTGAGAAGGGAGAAGCAGCTTCTACACAGCTGCCTCCAGTTCAACCAATAAACTGTAGGACCTGCTCCTGATTGGAGGAGAGCAGCGTACTCGGCGTGTGGGTAGCAGAGTTGGGATTGGCGGAAGAGGACTATAAAGGAGGAGAGAGACAACATGCACCAGGAACATCTAAGGGGAACACCTGAAGGAACACCTGAGCAGCCCCCGAGAGAGCCGGCAGGCGGTGTGCCGCTCCCCCGCGGAAGTGGGGAATGTGGCCAGGGGGAACCGCCCTTCCACGGAGGTGGAAGGGACAGTAGCCAACCCGGGAAGAACCAGCAGCAAACCCGGGGAGGGCCGAGTAGACAAAAGAACAGCGCAGGGTCCTGTGTCGTTCCTCCACGAAGAGGGGGAGCGACATAATGGTGCCGTGACTCGGATAGGAAGCCTAGGCAGAGTTTAGTGTCGTTCCCCCATGAAGACGGGGAGCGACATAATGGTGCCGTGACTCGGATAGGAAACTTAGGAGGGAAGAAACGGGAAGAAGTGGAAATTACCGGAGAGAGAGACTAGCAAAGAGCCTAGGGAAAAGCCGGACAGAAAAGGTGCCGGAAGAAGCTATCGAAAGCCTAGGCATAGACTCGGATACGGACTGTGGGAAAGAAGTTAGGATTTAAAGTGAAAGCAAGAAGAAACTTAGACTCAGATACGGACTGCAGGTTGAAAGTGAAAGTGAAACCTATAAGAAACTTAGACTTGGATACGGACTGTGGGGAGAGGCCAGGAGAAATGAGGGAGGAATATTGTTGGAAGAAAACTTAGGGAAACATACCAGGTAGAGAAAAATGTTAGGGAGGATGAAGCCGCGAGTGCAGGCCCAGGCGGAGACGTAAGCCAGCTTGGAATTCTTCAAGTCAACCCGGGGAGCAAGAGGCGAAGATCTGGAACCAGAGGCAGAGACGTGGGCCGCCAGGTTGGAATTCGCCAGGTTAGTCCGGGGAACTTGGACTGAATGCCGGTGGTGGCGGAAACGTGAGCTGGGGCTGTGTGACTCGCAGAAGCCTCCGCGTGCAGAGAGAGCACGGGGCGTGAATGGATAGGGAACGCGGGGCTGGTGCGAGGCTGTGGTGCGGACCTAAAGGGCGTGGAGACCGCGGAGCGCACGAAGCCAAGCCGCACAAAGCCGGGAAGCCACGCAGATGGGAGAAGCGCAGGCTGAAGCGGCTCAGAGCCGGGAAGCCGCCGAGAAGCAGCCTCGGGGTGGGCGCCGGGAAGCCGCAGGGATAAGAGAAACAGAAGTTTTAGAAGTAAAATGAGAGAAATAGGAATGCTGGTAGATAGAAGTAAAATAGGAGAAATAGGAATGCCCGGAGATAGAGAAATAGAGAAAAATAAGGCCTCCCCACAACACGGCAATGAGAGAGCTTGGATTCGGTCTGCCTGATTAGGACGATAAGCACCTGCGGGCGGCTAGCAGCTTATGCGCCGCAGGTCACCGAAGACAGGCACGAATTAACACCAATAAGTCTCCCCAGAATACGGCAATGAGAAGGCTTGGGTTCGGTTTGCCTGATAGGACTTGTAAGCACCTGCAGGCAGTTCTAGCAGAGTAGAGCATGCGCTGCAGGGCACCGAACACAGGCACGCATCAGCGCCTAAAAACCCCCTCACAACATGGCGAAGAGAGGACCCAGATTCGGTTTGCCTGATTGATAGGACTTGTAAGAACCTGTGGGCAACTCTAGCAAGTAGAGCAGAGTGTGTGCTGCGGGGCACCGAAGACAGGCGCGTATCAACGCCAAAAATAAAAAGAAAGGGGGATCTGTGGGGAGCAACCCGGACTGGACTGAGTTACTGGAATTAAGACTTATTCTATGCATCTGCTCTCCCACAATATGGCGCTGAGAAGGAAGTAACAACTTCTATGCAGCTGCCTCTCACCAATTTGATTGACTGAGCTGCAGGAGCTGATCTTGCTCCTGATTGGAGGAGAGCAGCGTACTCGGCGTGTGGGTAGCAGAGTTGGGATTGGCGGAAGAGGACTATAAAGGAGGAGAGAGACAACATGCACAGGGAACATCTAAGGGGAACATCTATCTGAAGGAACACCTGTGCAGCCCCCGAGAGAGCCGGCCGGCGGTGTGCCGCTCCCCTGCGGAAGTGGGGAATGTGGCAGGGGGAACCGCCCTTCCACGGAGGTGGAAGGGACGGTAGCCAACCCGGGAAGAACCAGCAGCAAACCCGGGGAGGGCCGAGCAGACGAAAGAACAGCGCAGGGTCCTGTGTCATTCCTCCACGAAGAGGGGGAGCGACATAATGGTGCCGTGACTCGGATAGGAAGCCTAGGCAGGGTTTAGTGTCGTTCCCCCATGAAGACGGGGAGCGACAGTCCTCTCCTGAGCACTGTGCCTGGATTTCTGGAAGCTTCCTGCCCGCGTGTTAGCGGACGTGAGTGGAACGGGTTCTGAAGAGTTAAAATTATATATGTGTGGGTGTAAAAAGTTAAGCTTAAGCTTACAGGTTTAAACCTTCCTGGTGCAGCTGTGAAAATAAGACAGAGTGAAGTAGCACCTTGACAGTAGGGACTCCATTTTGGAGCACTTGAGACTGCATTCTGGGAAAGCACCCCCCCACACACACCGTGAGACTCTGGTCTGAAACTATGATCTCAAATAGTCGGACAATAGCAGTGCACTACATCACCCTTGGCAACGCACAAAAACCCCCTAGCATGATTGCTCAAGCTTAAAAGTAGAAAGGTTGCACCTGGGTTACCTGGGCTAATAATGAAGATGTGATTTGTCTATGTCTTAAGATCATAATTGCTGATTGTAAGACTTTAGCAACCGCTTAGCAACCGTGTATTCTCTTCCCCTTCCCAGTTTTGCAGTTTTTGCCTTTATAAACCCTGACCTTTGGTTATTCATGATGATCAGACAGCCCCAGCATGCTGGATAATCAATAAAACTTCCCCGTGCTGTTTGCATAAGAGACGTGTCTCTTGGTGACGTTTTTCGGGCGGTCGACTCTAACAGTTCTTGTGTTCACGCAAGGAAGAATTCAGGAGTGGTGAGCCAGGTGGCAAGGTTTAGCAGGGCAGGGCGTCCATCAGAACGGATCCGAGAGCCAGCCCAGCCGCTCAGACCCGGGGAAGCCGGGTCACATGGCTGACTGAGACCACATGTGGCAGGTCAGGTGGCGTCTCAGGAGAGCTGAGCGCGCAGCACCGGGGCTTACAGGAACGGGGTCCAGCTCGTCCTGCGTCTTCCCCCGCCCCACCCTTGTCTCTCGGACAAGGGTGTGCCGGCTGTGGAACAGGTAGAATTCCTCCCGAGGGCTGGTGACCACTGGGCACAGGGCGGATGGGGGAAGACGGGACTGACTGTGAAGGTGTCAGGGTGTGGGCAGGACTTTGTGGTGTGGAGCACCGGGCCGCTTCCCACGGGGGTTCTGGATGCTGCCAGGAAGCCGCAGGTGTCTTGTTCCTCGGCCGATTCCTAACTCCTCCCTAACACCGCCACTTGGGGGCTCAGCTCAACACTCTTCATGGGAGTCTCTGCTGTCGCCTTCCGCAGCCTGGCCCGACCTGGCATTCCCGATAAGGGCTTCCTGGCACACTGGTGCCACCCCACACCCCGCACCCTCACATACCCAGTCATTCACACACACAAGGTACAAGACACAAAAGAACCGGTGCTGGCCACCCTTGGCTGCTAGGAATCACAGGCAAGTTTTGTTTTCACGTTTATCCTTAGGCGATCTAAGTCATCCGGGCTCCTCTCTTGTCCGAGGTGGATCTCAGCAGAGGCTTGCCAATTTTATTACTGTTTCCAAAGGACCACCCTTGGGGTCCGCTTTTCAGATGAATTTCCTCCTGATTTATCTTCCCCTTTGTTAATTCTCTCTCCGGCCGTGTCTGTCTCGTTAGTAAACCTGTCCACCAGGTTTCCTGGTTTATTGTTCAGTTCTAGAATTTCCATGTGGTCATAGTTTCTGATTCTCTGGCAATTTTACCTCACCTTGTGGCTCCTTCATATTTCACTGTCAACTCTCTGACAACTGCATTGTCCTGACCACCCGAGGGTCCGTTTTGTCTGTTTTCAGTCACATCTTTTATTTAATTTTTTAAATTTTTATTTATTTTTTATTTTTTGACAGGCAGAGTGGACAGTGAGAGAGAGAGACAGAGAGAAAGGTCTTCTTCTGCCGTTGGTTCACCCTCCAATGGCCGCCATGGCTGGCGCGCTGCGACCGGCGCACCGCGCTGATCCGAAGCCAGGAGCCAGGTGCTTCTCCTGGTCTCCCATGGGGTGCAGGGCCCAAGCACTTGGGACATCCTCCACTGCACTCCCTGGCCACAGCAGAGAGCTGGCCTGGAAGAGGGGCAACCGGGACAGAATCCGGTGGCCCGACCGGGACTAGAACCCGGTGTGCCAGCGCCGCAAGGCGGAGGATTAGCCTGGTGAGCCGCGGCGCCGGCCTCACATCTTTTATTTTAAAAAAAGATTTATTTATTTGAAACATGGAGTGACAAAGTAAGAAAGAGACCTTCCACCTGCTGGTTCACTCCATAGATGCCTGCAACAGCCATGGCCAAAATCCGGGAACCCCCTCTGGGTCTCCCATGGGCGCCAGGGCCCGAGCACTTGGGCCATCAGCAGGAGCAGGTGCAGAGCAGGGCAGCCAGGACTCGAATCCGTGCCCGTACAGGATGCAGGCATCGCAGACGGGCTTAACCCACCGTGCCACAGCGCCGGCCCCCTCAGCCACGTTTTGTCCGTCCTGAGCCTGGCTGGCTGTGACTGGGTGGGACGTCACCTGCGAGTGTGGAGGCCGAGAGGCGTGGGGACATCTCCACACCCCGCCCCGACCCCAGCCAGGATGCGGGCACCCCAGCTGCCCTGGTCTCAGCGCCCCAGCTGCCCCAGCACAAACTCCCACTTCCTCAGTGCCAGTTCCGTGTCCTGAGCGGAGACGTCGCGGTGCCACACGGCGCGCACAGCCCGCGCCGTCCAGGGGAACAGCAGCACACGCACCGCGCGGCCAGTTTGGGCCACCTCCTCGGCGCTCACCGCCTGCAGGCGCTGGCACAGCTCCGCCGGCGGCAGCCCATCCAGGGTCACCATCACCATGTTGGTCTCCACGGCGCTGGGATCCACGGAGCAGAAGGGCGACGCCAGCTCCTGGAGTCCTGAGCCAGGACCTGCAGTGAGTGCAGCCCGACCTGGACCCCCGCAGCCCCACCACCCTGCACGTCTCCTGGGGAAGGCGGGGGTCTGGATCCCGGCGCTGCCGAGCGCTTCCCGGTGCCAGGCAACCAGACCCGGGTCCCAGCCCGCGGCCGGGCGGCCAACCTTCAACGTCCCCGTGGCCTGCGGGGGATCTGGGCCCCCCAGAGGAGCCCCAGGCCCAAGTCAGAGGAAGCAAGGGCAGGTGAGGGGGCCGGTCCCGCACCTTTGGCGAACCGCCGGGCATTCTCATGGTCCCTCGGCAGCACCTGCTGGGCATCAGCCAGGCCCACCAGGGCGGCCGCGGCCAGCACCCCTGCCTGGCGCATGCCCCCGCCCAGGGCTTTCCGGAGGCGCCACGCTTCTTCCATGAAGTCCGCGCGTCCCCCAACCAAGGCCCCTGCTGGTGCACCCAGGCCCTGGAGGCAGAGACGGGGAGACTCCTGCGAGCCTGGCACATCCTGTCCGGGGGGTAGGGGCGGAGCCAATGCTGCAGCCCCGCCCAGGGGAGGAGCTAGAGGGGAACCCAGGCCCAGCTGTCCCCACCCCCCTCCCCGAGGCTACTCCAGGGGCTTCTGACCTTGGAGAAACAGAGCGACACGGAGTCACAGTGCTGCACTATGTGGGCCGGGGGCACGCGCAGAGCCACAGCCGCGTTCATCAGCCGGGCTCCGTCCAGGTGCACCCGGGCTCCATATGTCCGGGCCAGGAGGTGCACCTGCGGGCCAGGCGCAGGCAGAGGTCAGAGCGGCCAGAGCTGAGGGAGCCCAGGGCTCCAGCCCCCAGCTCGGTGGGCAGCTCCGGCTGTCTGGGCCCCGAGCAGGCACACAGGGTTGGGGCGGGCTGCTCGGATGAGCAATGAGCGCCAAGTACCAGCTGGGTCTGGGCCCTGCAGCACTGGGATGGGCTGCTCCAGGGCCTCGCCCGTGCCCCCTCCAGGCTGCGGCAGGGGCGTCTCCGCCTGGGCGAGTCCAGGGACTGCGGGCCCTAATGGGGCACCAGTTTCCTCTGCATCTGCAGCCCGAGACTGCACGCGCTCCTCCCATGCCCTGGCCACGGAGCGGCGCCCCGGGCAGGAATCAGAGGGGACTCCGCGCCAGCACCGGGGCTCAGGGGACGCAGAGGCCGGGGCAGCCGGGGGGGGGGGGGGCAGTGCTGGGGCCGGGCCCACCTGGCGCAGGTAGTCGAGGGGGAGGACCCGGCCCCCGGAGCTGCTGTGCGTGTTCTCCAAGCAGACGAGCTCACACACTGGGTGGTAGCGGCTCCCCAGGCCCCGGGTGAGCCCCCTCTCCAGCCCAGCCAGGTCCAGGGTGCCGTGGGGCAGGTCTGGGAGGGGCTCGGAGTGCACTCCAGCGATCTGCGAGGAGGGGGGGTGGACAAAGGACCAGGGGCATCGCGCCCGGGAGTCGGGAGTTCTCCGCCGGCCGCTGCCCAGAGCCCAGGCACACGTCCGGCTCTCACGCTCTGTGTGGCCACTAGGGGGCAGCAGGGCACCAGGCAGGAGCTCAGGCCTCTGCCCAGTGTCCCTGGGGCCAGCTGGAGCCTCTGCCTCCCCCATGTGGCAAGCAGGGGACCTGCGGGCTCTCCTCCCCTCCCCGCCCCAGCTGCCCGCGGCTCTCCCAGCCTTCGAGGATGCCCGGGGCGCCGCACGGGCGGGCCTGGTCCTACCTGAGCCACGGCGCCCTGCTCGTACACGTGGAGGTGGCTGTCCTGCCCGAGGAGGAGCTGGGAGCCCCGGCGCCGGCAGTGACCCATCACTGAGACAGACGGAGGAGCGCAGGGCCCGGCCCTGAGTGCGCCAGGCTGAGCCCTGGCCCCGCGCGCCCGCAGGTCTCCGCTCCGCGGAAACAGCGCCTCTTCCCACCCTTGCGGCCACGTGCAGAACTGTCACTGGGAATCCACGGGCGGGATGGCTGGGCTGGGCCCTGCACCGTGTGCACCTGCGCCCCGTGGCCCCACCCACGGGAGAAGCTGGCCCCTTGCTGCCTCCCGGGACACAGGCGCGCTGGGAGGCTGCCGAAGGTTCGGGAAGGGGCCCTGCGGCAGGGGGGTGGGGAGCAGACTCGCCCGCGTCTCCTGCCTGGGCGCCCCTGGCTGCAGCCCACAGCGACCGGGAGCGCTCAGGGGCGCACTCACCAGAGATGAGGTTGGCCATGGTGCACGTGGGCACGAACAGGGTCCGCTCCACCCCCAGCAGCTCCGCGGCCTCTTCCTGAAGTTCTGGGGGGTGGGGGAGGGATGGAGTGGGGGCGGGGAAGCCGCCGCGCACGCTGGCACCTCCATGGACTTAGAATGACTACCGGGTTTTTATTCACAGACAGTAAACGTGAGCCAAGGGCCCACCTTAGAAGCGCTCGGAAGGCTGCGGTGCCGGCGGGACGGCCCGGCACCCAGCGGCCCCACGTCCCCAGCCACTCAGGGCCGCACCTGCTGGGGCCCCAGGGTCAAGCTGCCTCCTTAGCAAAGCACGCAGCTGCGCTGCTCTGAGAGCTTCCCTCGGGCCAGGGCCGCGGCCAAGCCCACCCTGGGTGCAGAGGGGAGCCCCTCGCCCAGGCGTGCCGGCTGCGGCCTGAGGTCTCGGTAACCACACAGCTGGGTCCAGGGGGCCCTCAGTGAACTGCACACTCCCCTCCCCACCCCCACCCCCGAAACTCTCCTGCGGTTTGAACTCCCGGTCCCACCCGGGCCTCACACCTGTCGCACTTCCTTTCCCATCAAGCTCTGCAGGTGGGGCCCTGCGGTTTCTCTGCCGACTTCCTCTCCCCCTCAGAAACTAGGGCTCTGGGGAGGTGCAGGGGCACGAGGCTCCCCTGGCTGTGACATTCGAGGCCGGTGCCACCTGGCCTCCGCCCCCGGCAGGGTCCAGCCACTGACGTGCCCTGCCTGGAGGGCCAGCACCCCCACACCCTGGCCCCCAGGGCACCCTCTGCGCACTCCCGTGGGCCCTGGCGGGGGGCTGCGGCTCTCGGGGACAGTGCGTGTCTGTGTGCTGTGGGTGGAATCAGCCCCCGGCACCCCTCAGCGCCCCCACAAATGGCCACCCGGTGGCCTGGCCCTGGCCCAACCCTGCCAGCAACTCAGCTCGGGGGTGTGGGTCAGTGCATCTGGAAGACACCCCGTTACTAGGGCCCCGCCTCGGGGGACCCCTTCCCTGGACCGGGTGCCACAGGGGGTGCACTTGCGTCTTAGACTCAAGCCCTGCGCTCAGACCCCGGTTCTGCCATTGGCCGGGGCCTGGACTTGAGGGCCTCCCCCAAAGGCTTCTCTGTAAGACGGGGTGACACTCGTCTCAAGGGACAGCTGGGGGACAGTGAGGGTGCACACGTCAGTCACCTGTCGCCCTGGGGACAGCGAGGGTGCACATGTCAGTCACCTGTCGCCCTGGCCCAAGGCAGGCTGGCTTCGCAGGCCCGGCGTGGGGCCCGAGAAGCCGCCTGTCCAGCCGGCTTCCGGGTGATGAGCCGCGTCCCCGCCCCGGCAGCACCGTGGACAGCGCTCCGGGGTCGCCTGGACGACCCCAGCCCAGGCCTGCGCGCCGGGCTCACCGCGGACAGTGGGGTCCTCGCCGTAGTCGTCGTCCCCCACGACCGCCTCAGCCATGGAGCGCCTCATGGCTGGCCCGGGCCTGGTCACCGTGTCGCTGCGCAGGTCCACCACATGCGCCGGGACCCCAGCCCAGCTCCCAGACCCCCGCGCCCGGAGGGCCCTGAGCGCCGGGGCCGCAGCCCTGGCCAGTCCGCGGAGCATGGCGGAGGCAGCGGCCGGCGCCCCACTCTGGCGGGAGCTGCTGACCCCGCTCTGACCCGGCTAGGGCAGCCCGCAGCAGCGGAGTCCGCGCGGCCGGACTTCCTGGACTCGGGTCCGGGCTGACCCGGGACAGCCGGGCGCGCCGCGCGGCACGCCGGGAGTTGTAGTTCGCGGCGCGTCACGGCGCGCGGCCCCCCGCGCGGAACGCTGGGAGTTGTAGTTCGCGCGCTTTCAGAGGCGCTGCTGCTGTGGGCGCTGCCTCACTCGCTTTCCACGTGCAAGCTCAGTCACGTGACCTCGCGACTCTCGGAGACAGTGATGTCACTATCCCCATTGTACAGGAGGGGAAACTGAGACTCCAGAAGCCAGCGAACTTGACCTAGGTCACCGGGCGGGAATTGGGGCTGGGAGCCGGCTGTCCGGCCTTCCTTGGAGCACCTGCCGCGTTCCCGCGTGGTGTGGGTGCCAGGCAGGGGGTCACAAAGGCGGGTGCCCGGGGAACCCCTCCCCCGTGCCCTGGCCTGGAGACCGGACAGTGGTGGAGGCTGCGGTCCCTGGCTGCCTGCTGGGTCACCTGGGACAAGCGACGTGACCTCTCTGGCCTCAGCCTCCTCACCCGGAGGTGGTCTCTTGTGAGACTTCCGGCCCAGTGGGTTTGGCGCTGACCCCGGTGCTGGCTGCTGGCGGGAGCTGGACAGGGCCCAGGGCAGCTGCTGTGGGCTGCGCTCAACCCTGACCACGGGGTGACCCCTCCCACGGCACCCAGCCCCACCCTGGGACTCCCCTTCCTGCAGGACGGGTGAGGCCACGGCTTCCCTTGGGGGCACTGGCCAGGCGGGGGCAGAGGCAGCCGCGGGGCCAGCTGTGCCGGGCAGCCGGACAGGCTTCCCGGAGGAAGCCACGGTGGGGCTGAGTTTCGATGGAGGCCAAAACCACATCCAGGTTTGAGGTGAGGCCCCGGAGCCCCCACCTCTTCCCTTCTGCGGGGCCACCCTGCAGGGGAGGGTCCGTGGGCCCAGGACCCCATCAGGAGAGCTCCCTGCCTGCTCCCGCCCCCGCACTGGGCCCCCCTCTCACGGTCTGGCTCCAGCCCTTGTGCTGGGACGTGGGGCAGGGAGCGGAGGCCCCGTGGGAAAGGCGGTGGATGGGCCGGGAGAGGGGCCCAGTGCACGGACCCCAGGTCCCCTCCAGCCCACAGGAGCACCCGGCAGCCGGCACAGCCCTCACTGCAGCAGCCTTGGGAGGGGTCTGGGCAGGCGAGGGCAGCCTGCAGCCCGGTGCCAGCGGGAGACAGCGGGCAGCAGCCCCGGCCGTCCTCCCTGGGGGCGTCGGCCAGAGCAGCGTCCTGTAGGGTGTTCCCGCGGGGCGCCCGGCACACACACCAGCTCTGCCCATGCCAGGGGCTCTGACGGTGCGGAGGGAGCAGAGGGTAGGCTGGCACGGAGGGGGGGTGGGGCCCGGTGCAGCGAGCCACTGCTTTCCGGGGGTGGTCTGGGTGCAGGCCTCTGTGTGTGTGCACACGTGTGCATAGATGTGCGTGTGTGTAGATGCGTGTGGACATGTGTGTGTCTCATGTATGTGCATGTTTCTACATTGTGTGTGTGTTCACACCTATGTGTGTTCATGGCCTGTGTGTGTCCTGGGCTGCATCTGAGGTAGCCAGACTGCAGGAAGCCGGGGACAGAGCACAGCTCCTGGGGACAGGGCACAGCTCCCGGGGACAGGACACAGCTCCCTGGACAGCCACAGCTCCCGGGGACAGAGCACAGCTCTCTCTTTTTTTTTTTTTGGACAGGCAGAGTGGACAGTGAGAGAGAGAGAGACAGAGAGAAAGGTCTTCCTTTGCCGTTGGTTCATCCTCCAATGGCTGCCGCGGCTGGTGCACTGTGGCCGGCGCACCGCGCTGATCCGATGGCAGGAGCCAGGTGCTTCTCCTGGGCTCCCATGGGGTGCAGGGCCCAAGCACTTGGGCCATCCTCCGCTGCACTCCCGGGCCACAGCAGAGAGCTGGCCTGGAAGAGGGGCAACCGGGACAGAATCCGGCGCCCCGACTGGGACTAGAACCCAGTGTGCCGGCGCTGCTAGGCGGAGGATTAGCCTAGTGAGCCGCGGCCCTCCAGGCCACAGCTCTCAAGCAGGGCTCAGAGGCCGAAGCCCCTCACAGCGCCCACTCTGCTTGGACCCCCCCCCCCCCCGCCCATGTGTGGTGCTGGCCGCTCTGTGACTGAACAGAATCCCGGCCTCTGCCCCGCCCCCACATCAGCTGCCCCTTTCTTTCCCCCCATGGCCGCTGCCCTTGGCCAGGCCGCCGTGGGCTCCTGCCTGCTCCTGGGTACTTGGAAGCGCCGTGGCTGGCCAGGGTTCCGGCTGGGCCCCTGCATGGTCCTTTCGTACGTCTGTGCCAAGTGTGCTGGGCTCTCCACCCCGCAGCTCTGCACCTGCACTCCAGCCGCCCAGAAGCCCCAGCCCTGGCCACAGCATTCTCAGTCTTTAGTCTCAGTTGAGATGCCTCCTCCTCCAGGAAGCCCCCCGGCCCCAACCTGGCAGGAGAGGGAGGCGGTCCTGCCCCTGGGTGCCCGTAGCCCCTTCCCTTCCCACTGCCCGCAGGTCACTGCCTAAGTGCAGGAGGCCGGGGCACTCTTGTCCCCTGGCCTGGTGTCTGGGGAATGACACGTAGGACCCTGGAGCCTGTGGGCAGCCTGGGGGCCTCGTGCGCCCCTGTGCAGGCCAAGGCGCCCCGTGCAGGGGACGGAGCCGGCCCTGCCCCACTCCCTCCGTGGAGGGAAGTCTGGGGCCCCAGGTGCTGCCTGTCCCTGGCTGTCCAGAGATGCAGGGTGAGACCCAGAAGAGCCGGAGCCAGGAGTCAGAGGGAGGGGCTGCCTCTCAGGACCCCTGCCCTGGCGCAGCCTCTGGGGCGGGGGCCCCCCGCGTGCAGGGTTCAGGGCGAGCATTCCCGTAAGGCTGGGCGGCTGGCAGGAAGTGCGGCAAGAGGCCTGCTGCTGGGAACCGGGGCTGGGCCCGGAGATAAAGGAGGCAACAGATTGGAGCTGGAGATAGCGCCCTGGGTCCTGGTAAACAGGTGGGGGTGGGGGCCCACCCCCTTGGCCTGGGGCCCGCAGGGTCCATAAGGCACGGGCGTCCCCCCCTCGGGGCTGCAACTGCACACGTGACCCACGTGGGGGTGACCCGGGGTCAGGGCCATGGGTGCTGTTGGGAGGGCAGGAAGAGGAAGGAGGGGCTCCGGCCGCCCGCTGCAGCCCCCCGCTGGGCAGGGCAAGCTGCGCCAGGGACCCCAGCAGGGAGCGGGGCAGAGCTGGGCAGAGCCCCCCCCCACCCCGCGTCACTGGCCAGGACTCCAGAGCTTCCTTCCCTTCCGCAGCCCCTCCCCCTGCCCAGAAGTGACAGCGCCCGAGCTTTTACGATCGTCAGCTACCTTTTTTTATGGTTTTGCCACCGTGCCTGTGTCCCCTGATGACGTCAGAGTGTGGCTTGTTCTCGAACTTTACACGGCTTGGGGTCGGCCCGGCGCCTCCGGGGCCGGCTTCCTGTGCTGGCACTGTGTTCCCAAGAGCCACCCGGGGGCAGCCGTGGTGCCCTCCTCGCGGCTGCCGGGGGCCTTCCGTGCGATTTCTCTGCGTTCCACCTGCTCAGGGGCCTCTGGGCCCCTCCCGGATTTGCAGTTCCCGGGCTGCTGCTGTGAGCGCTCTCGCACCTGCTTCCTGGGGCACAGCCTGGGGTGCAGCTGCTGGCTCCCGGGATGCACTCCGCCCGCGGCTCCACCCTTCCAGAAACTTCCCCATGGCTCATCCATCTCCATAACACCTGGCCTCATCCGACTTAAAAAAAAAATTATGAGGCTGGCGCCGGGGCATAGTGGGCTGAGCCTCCGCCCGCAGTGCCGGCATCCCACATGGGCTCCAGATTGGGTTCTGGCTGTTCCTCCTCCCATCCAGCTCTCTGCTGTGGCCTGGGAAAGCAGGAGAAGATGCCCAAGTCCTTGGGTCCCTGCACCCACGTGGGAGACCCTGGCTCCTGCTCCTGGCTTCATATTGGCGCAGCTCCAGCCATTGTGGCCATCTAGGGAGTGAACCAGCGGATGAAAGACATCTCTTTCTGCCTCTCTCTCTGTAACTCTGCCTTTCTAATTAATAAATCTATTTTTTTACTTGTTTATTTGAGAGACGTAGAGAAAAGGGTACGGATGAGAGAGAGAAGGTGAGAGAGGGAGTCCCCATCCCCTGGCTCACTCCCCAGACGCCCGCAGCACTGGGGCCCAGCCAGGGCCAGGGACAAAGGCGCAGCCCCGGCCCCCGGCGGGCGGCAGCCCCAGGCACTTGAACCATCCTCACTGCCTCCCCACTGTACCCGCAGAAGCTGGGCCAGGGCCAAAGGCGGCATGAGACCCAGGCGCTGCGCTGTGGAACACGGGTGTCCAGACTCCTTAAATTATTTTTTAAGGAGCCGGCGCTGTGGCTCACTTGCTTAATCCTCCGCCTGTGGCACCGGCATCCCATATGGGCGCCGGGTTCTAGTCCTGGTTGCTCCTCTTCCAGTCCAGCTCTCTGCTGTGGCCCGGGAGGGCAGTGGAGGATGGCCCAAGTGCTTGGGCTCCTGCGCCTGCAGGGGAGACCAGGAGGGGGCACCTGGCTCCTGGCTTAGGATCGGCGCAGCGCCGGCCGTAGTGGCCATTTGGGGGGTGAACCAACGGAAGGAAGACCTCTCTCTCTCTCTCTCACTGTCTATAACTCTACCTGTCAAATTAAAAAAATTATTTTTTAAAACATTTTAGTTATTTATTTGAGAGGCAGAGTTACAGTGAGAGGGAGAGACAGAGAGAGAGGTCCCGCAGCTGCTGGTTCACTCCCCAGAGGGCTGCGATGGTCAGGCCTGGGCCGGGCTGAAGCCAGGAGCCAGGAGCCAGGAGCCAGGGTCTCCAGCTGATGGCCCGGAGCTGGCAGGGGCCCAAGGACGTGGCTGCTTCTCCGCTGCCTCCCCAGGCACGTTGGCAGAGAGCTGGGTCAGAAGTGGTGCAGCTGGGACTGGGGTCGGATAGGTCAGGCAGGTGGCAGCTTGAAGCCGGTGCCACAAGGCGAGGTCCCAGGGATTTCTGATGGATTAGAAATTCTTCAGGGCCGGCGCTGTGGTGC